TAAAAATTATGTGTACGTGTCACTCATGTGTTGTTGACACAAACAAATTTCATATTTTCCATAATTCCTCCTTTCATGGAAACATACCTTTTCATTTTCAAATCTTTTTTAAATTCCTCCACTTAATTTTTTCTATTTTTCCTAGGAAGTTTCATTTCAACAAGTACACATCCACTCATTAATTTTAGTACTATAAATACATTTCAAGATTCACTTAAAATTGCACATTTCTCACTTATATTATATGTATCCAAATATTTCAAAATTCCCTTTACCATATAGACTATAGTACATATGGAACAAGGCAAGAAAGGGAAAAATTCTAGTAGAAAAAATTATAAACAAAAAGAGCCAATGAAGGTAAAATATATTTCAAGTCCAATAATGGTAAATGCAAAAAATGCTGATGAATTTCGATCGATCGTTCAAGAACTCACCGGAAAAAGCCCCGAGAAGGGTGGTGGAATAGGCGGTGATGGTGGTGGTGGTGGTGGTTGGCCTAAAGATCATGATGGAGTTGAGTACAATAATTCAAGTACAAATAATATTTCTATGGATATTGATAATAATGATGAATATTTTTGGAAACAATTTTCAGAGAGTTTATCTGTATTTCAATATCCAGATTACTAGTATAATTATTTTAATATTTATTGTTCACCTTCTTTTTTTTTTGGATCATGATGGAAATTCTAAATAAAATAAAACCAGTCCATCATTATATTATATATATACATATATAGCAATAAATCCAATTTGATACTTCCTATCTTATTTGAAATATTACTTTTGTTATAGTAACGTATGTAGAATTTTATGTATATATGTATACGGTTCGATATGAAATTTGTGTTAGAATTATATAGATATTTGCTATGTGGTTTAATTTTTTTTTTATTTAAAATGTATTGTCCATAAATTATAAGTTTAATTTTGTTTTTAAATGAAGTGGTGTATCGGGTCCGAATTGTGTGACCTATTAGAAAAGTATCATTCATGATTATTTAGAAAAAATTAACACGTATTAATACACACGAAAAAAAACTCAAATTCATGACCACGAAACATAAAATAAATGATGTTAAGTCATTACGAATAAAGTGAGTATTGGTCACCATGCCATTTCCGAAGGACCCGTCAAATTTAGGTTAAACAAAGTTCGCGATCAAATTTAGAAAAAATAACATGTACTAATACACATAGTAGAAAGATCAAATTTATTTCAAAACGCCAAACCAAATAATGATAGTCATGACAAAAATGGTGAATATTGATCACCAGGTCATTTTTGAAGGACCCACCCAATTTCAGGCCAAACAGAGTCCACAACAAAATCAGCATGTATATTAATTATACACACGAAAAAAAGATCAAATTAGTGAATTCAGATTCATGACCTCAAAACGCCAAAATAAACAATATTAGTCATGACGAACATAGTGAGTATTAATCACCATATCATTTTGAAAGAACCGACTAAATATTATGTCAACTAAAAAACGCAATCAAATTTTTTAAAAAACAACATGTATATAATACACACGAAAAAATTAGATAGCGACATAATGAGTATGTTAATTACATGTTTCTACGAAATGGTGCAATTGATAGTATAACTTGTCAAGAAATTTATTACAACATTTGGAATGTTGTACAACTTAATTAAAAACTTGTAATAAGCTTTTTTTGACCAAAAAATATTATTCTAGTTAGTCAAACTGAGGTGCTACATATGTTATTTGCCATTTATACATACGTTTAACTTTTTGGAAACTACTCTGAAACATTGAGTGACAATGTGTTTATATTACAATCATTGTATTATTAATTCCTAGACATGATACAATTGATCGGAAATTAGGGTAGAAAACTAGTACATAGCGGAGGTAGAACTAACAAAATTTTTATAATTCATCGTTAAATAGAATTATATGTTGTTTTTGTGACGAACGCTAATTTTTTATTTTTTTATTTTTGGCAATGTGATTTTGTCATGTGGTAAGTGCATGGAAGCTTCATTGACCAATATCATGTGGAAAAATAAAGCAAATATTTCAATTCACATTCAAAAATCAATGTCATGTTGATGTTCTTCAATTTAATGTCTAAAAGAATAGAAAGATGGTAGTTGTAACTAATAAAATTGATATAACATATTAAATTACACTGATAATATAAAAATTCTTTATACTATCGGTACATAATTTTTAATAAATAAATAAAAGAACCATCAATGGTACAAGAACTAAAGTACGTTGAGCATCTACAATCTTGTAATCACCTAAACTGTGGAGAATTTACAAAGAATTATACATCCTATAAATTAAATCCCAAAAGAAATATATATTAAATTCAAGAATGATTTGATTCTTGATTTTGGGTATTATTAATTTTTCAGAAATTGAAGTTTTCATATTTTGAGCTAACATGCATCTTCCCTTTTTTTGCCACCAGGAATATTTGTGCATGGATTTGCACCTTTTGATGGAGTTGAACCTCTTGGAAGTGATTGCATAATTAAAAATTGTTGATCTTCTTTTAATATCCTCAATCCACTAACATTATTGTGTAAGTTGAACAAAATAATGATCGTTATGACGAAGACGATTTTGCAATAGTTGTATTGCTTGAATGCCATTGTTGAGATCATGTTTAGAAAAAAGACAAGAATACCCTTGGTATACGACCGGAGAATCTAAGTTTGAGCAGTGAAAACAGTCTCTTAGCAAAAACAATGCAAAAGAAAGCCCTAATATGTGTGTATATGTTCACTCTTTTGAGCCCCTGGAAACGAGTTGAGAAAGTCTTGTTGAAAGCAGGAACTCAAATTGTGACGACTAATTTGGTGAAGATTATAGATCAAAGTGAGTACTCTTGTTTCTTTTCTTTTTGAGGAAGAAGAAGGGATTGGTGAGTGAATTATGGAGATGAAGAATATTGTGTAGTGATTTATATATATGCATAATATAACATATACTATATAGTGTGTAGATATGGGAAAATGTGGGGAAATTGACTGAAGAAATCCGCGGTTTGAATAGTTTGACAAAATATTGGTTGGTAAAACGAAAACACGTACGCTTGAAATTTCAGCACCTTTTTTTTTTGGGTTGTGGGTGTGTGTGTGTGTTGTGGGGGGGGGGGATTAGTCACACACACATGTAATCTCTCCGTGTATTTGTATTTGTCAGATATTGACTTGATGCACTCCTTAAGACATGATTAATAGATGACAATTTTATCATAACATCCGTGACTATAGTTTATTATAAGAGTAAAATAGATATAAAATAATAAATTATCTCTTGATTTTCTAAACTGAACCGTTAAGAGTGAACATTTATTTTTGGTATATGGACTAGTAAAACTGGATGAAGGGAGTATATAACAACAACAACATATCCGGTGTTGTCCCACAAAATGGGAGTTGGCCGTTTGAAGAGAATAAAGTATACGCAAACCTTAAAAATAGAAAACTTGTTTCTGATAGATCCTCGATTCGAAAAGAACAATTCAATAATAAAGGACAAGGTGTACGTAAACTTTGTGTATAAGAGAGGAATAAGTCAGTCCAGCTTGGCCTCATGTGTATGAAACTTTTTGTTTGGTGGTCAACCTCTATGATTTTAATGATTTGATTAGAAATCTAGAGTTAGAAAATTATATGTCAAAAGAGCTACACATAATGTAGTTCACAATGAAAATAGTTACTACTTTTTTTTCTTGTACGGATTAATCAATCTATAAGATGCTAAGGGAATACAAACAAGAAGATGAGTTGACCAACGAGGATCATAGTGGAATAAATATGATCCTTTCATTTTTTAAGAAGAGATCTCGAGTTCAAAACTGATTATAGAAAAAAATTATGTTAGGAAGTAATTCCTCCTTGAAAGAGATTACACAATGCAAATCTAAATTAACTAACGTGATATCAAACACTGAGTGAGAAACTATATGAATTTTCTTTTGATGATTGACTAGAAACAAATGAAGCTTGCTGGAAAGTTAGTTAGCATATTTCACATGGGGAAGTATATTTTTTGACTATTAATATTTAATACAATATAGAAGTATATTTTACTTGGTCATGAGCTAATTGCACTTGACATGGCTTGAAATTTAAGCATTTCAATAGGATAATAATCTTCTCTTTGGCACAAAGTCTTTGACTCGTTCATGCTTTCCAAGCAACTCCACATCTTCAATGTGTTATTCTTGCATGATACCTTTTTGAGACGGAATGATCTAAGAGACTCCTGTACTTGTTCTGATTTGTCATCTCGACCTCTGTACTCTACGGTGAACTAACAAGATACTTAAACTCGATCAAAAGCTAATTTATGTTAAGATAAATTATGATATGACATTAATTTAATTATCTATGTGGATATGATGTATCCTCCATGTCAGGGCGAGTGAGCAATAGACAATGTCAAAGACGTCTAAAAGACTAGTTTTGATCGAGTTCAATTGTATCGTTGAAACAAAGTAAATTACGGAATGACAAATCGGAACAAGTATAAAAAACTCCCATGCCATTTCACCCTTTTTAGTGTTCCACCAACACTCATTTTTAGAGCTTAACTAATCCAAATTCACACCGAGAAGTCTTATTTTAGAGGTAGCTAAACAACAGACCTCAAAAAGTACCCAACGTTGGAGTAGCTCAAATCCAAAAGTCTAATTAAGAATAAAGTACTTACCACCCGACCACAACTTTTAATGGGTAGCATTAACATTCACAATAGAAACTAATAACATATGGAGATGGTCATAAACCGGTAAATGTAATCAAATATTCATTCGAGTTGGCCATTATAATTTTGGTTTTACGAGACTATACTTGTAAATTGTAATCTATGTTGCTGGAACCCCCCAAAAAAATACACACCTGCCGACGTTTTTGAAAAGTCCGAACAACATAGCTCGTAACTTTATATGAAATAATTGGCACATGTAACCTTAGATCAAGCGAAAAATGAGAACTAACGGCATCATAAATAATCTCTGTTGCATAGTTATGGGAAACCCAGAAACTAAAAATAATCTAACATTTTACAGATTTTCCTATTTCGGCCTATAACTTGAGAAATCAGAAAATTCTTAAAGAAATGTATGGATTTGATGTTTTTGGTCTAAAAATAGGATAAAATCGAAACCGATTTTCTAAATATAGGAGAGTCAAAGCCAATAATCTGTACCCTCTATACATGTACTCATCCAAAATCGCATGGATTTGCCTACATTACAACTGACAGAAGCCAATTTTACCAGCAAACACCCTCAGCCGAAAAACGGGTGCTTGCTTAGTGAAATCTCAGCATAAATGTTTAACCGTCTCGGGAGGACTAAATGTATACTACCACCAAGGTGACATCCCCACATTTACCTGCCAAACCATTATCTTCTGCTGAAACTAGTGCACCTTCTTGGCAAAACAGCACGCTTACCTTCGAAGATAATCATACGGTAATGAGGAAGTAGCTCCGGAAATTATCTAGTTGTAGATCCGAACAGGCTTCTCAAAATTTTGTCGGTTCTGCAGCACCAATATTAATCAGTTATACATGTATTGAGGAAAACGAGTACGCATAATAAACAACATGGCTTTCTAATTTGAGGGAATTTCGCTCTTGAATGGACATTACACATGGCAAAAAAAAGGACACTATCTATATTCGAACCTATGTACTGCAAGCTTATCAAAAGGAAAACAATTCTCAACTGAGAAATTCATTTTATCTTTAGACCATGGAGTAAATTGACTACCAGATCCATTGAGGATACAGGTAATTATTATAAGATATAAGCTATCAAAGATCAAACATTCGAGCATACAAGTAATCCAGATGGTACCATATGCTCATATGCATCAAAAGATGTTTGTTCGCTCAAGATAACTAACTTGCTCAAACCCCACACCACGAAACAAAAGAAACCCTCAAAACTTTTGTTTCTTCACCCTTGAAAAGTTACGGAACTTGGATAACTAGCTTCTGTAGTATAGTTAGTGCTGCGGGGCCAAGCCCAATTTTCTTTCCACAATGTTGAAATTCTTACCTAAAATTCTCAGAAGGTTTCTCATATATATGCTTCAAATTATGACAACTCACGCATAAAACATTAGTGCATACCTGGTGGGCAGAATATGATCGTTTTGGAGCACTGTCAGTGTGCTCTAATCCAAGGTACTGCTCCCAAGCACCATACACATCTCTTTTCTGGAAACCAATAGGAAAATTAGGATATCCAAACACATATGATAACGACTATGCATCGACAAAGATGAAGAGGAAGCACCAAATACCTGAAAACGGTTGGAAACAATATCCGATTCCTCCAGGTACTCAGGACGACCCATGGACAAAAATGCAAATTTCCACTGCAGAGCAAAAGAACCACATGTCAAAGACTTTCAAGAACACAATTATATACTTCACCGAGAAAATGACTCAGAAATTTTCAAGATGAAACTTCCATGAATAATATGAGAAATCCAAAGGAAGGACGATTGAATACCTTTGAAAACTCTTCATCTGGAACCTGCAATTTTTTCTGAATGCGAGCTTTAACTTCAGTCAATGTCTCACCGTCATGAATAACTAGGAAAAAGGGCTCGCCAAAGTTCAGAACTTGCTGACAACACAAGAGAAAGGAATTAAAAAAAAAAGAAAAAGAAAGAGGAACCAAAAACAAACAATTCAAGGAAGAACCTTCCCTAAAATGAACAGTTATTGCAACAAGATTTTTACACATGTACTTACTGCTTGATTTTGAGTCGTTTCCTTTATAAAATGATAAACATGAATTAAGCGACTCTGAGGATCCAGGTTTTTCTCCTCTTCAGGAATCTGTAATGCAAACAGTGTCAGTAGTATGCAAACATCTATAAAATCTATGCTACAACTATATACTCAAAACACGGGGTGGCAGATAGAAAAAAGGAACTTGAATGATTGGGGGGTAGAGAATATCAGTCAATTTACTTCAATTGATCGAAGTAAGATGGATTCACTGATCTGAGAAGTTGGTGATGGTAAAAAAGTTTCAGTTAAAAATTGTAATAGCATGTTGATAAAGAAGTCAGGTCATTGGGATGCTAAATGGCCTCAGAAGATGATTTGGAAGACAAAATCTCCTGTTAAGGTAGAATGCTTTGGGTGGACAGCAGCTCGGGAGGCTTGGTCAAGACAACTTGCAGAAAAGAGGTTTCACTTTATGTAACAGAGGAGGATCCACGATTTTAATTTGATGGGTCAACCTTAAAATTCTTACAACTGAACCAATTATATATCCATACTACGTGTCAAAAACACTGGATTCAGATGAACCCAGTATTTGTTCTCTATATCCACCACTGGTAATAGATGTTATCTGTGTGAAGAAGACTAGGAATCAGTGAATCATCCAATCCTCCAATTTCTCACAAAAAAAAAGAAAAAAAAGAATCATCTTTTCCTCCATTGCAGAGTTTCTATGCAATGCTGGGAATTACTTTGCCATTCTATTGTGCATCTTATGTACTTTATGGCTGGAGAGGAAACAATGTTTGCTTTGAAGGGCATAGAAACCACATATCTAGAATTAATAATGTCTTCATAATCTGTATTACTGGTGGAGAAGTAATTCCTTAGTGAATCTGAACCAGTATATGGATTTTCTGGATTTGTTGGGAGGGAAAGGATAGTAGGTGGTTTGTCGGTTCTTTAGATGTTTTCTGTACTTCTTGGTACTTCATTGACAAACTTTTTATCTTGTAAAAATAATTGATTGAATATGGCATGTCTCAGTGCAATATGCTAGATGGTCAAACAGGGAATGACTGAGACAATCACAAAGATTGAAGCTCGAAATGAAAAAAACAAAAAAAAAAACAGTGAAATTCATATAGATCCATTGGCCCAAAAGTAAATTCCAACCTGCCCTAGTGAATAAACTAATGAAGCAAACGTCAGATATTAAAATGTACCTCCTCTGCACGTAGCGTCCAGTATTGATCATTTATGTTCTCAATCCTTTCATTAAGGGGGAAAATCTGCAGCAAAAAGATGGATGCAAGGTTACAAATGCTACCTAGGAGCAACCTATAAAACACAGTTATATCATGTCCTTTCATGAATTCTTTTACATCCTTCAACAAAACATATATCCACTGTTTACACAAACACATATGTGTAGCTACATTATTGTTCAATAAATACACACAAAGACACATGTATTATATTCTTCTATTCTTTAATCTAATAAAAAATTGGTTATCCTTTACTGTATTCAGCGCCATATAACATTGTACTCTAGAAAAAAACAAGTAAAAGAGATTAGATTTACGACCACTGAGCTGATCTGTTAAAGAAGGGAGAAGCATCTCAGCGACCCAAGACCACAGTATAAAAGGAAGTTATGCAACATTATAGTACCTTATATATCTTGTGGTAAAAAACTTCCAGCAATCTTAGTTCAGCATCCGGCCGTGACAATTCAACCTGCACCATAATAAGAGATAAGATGAGTGATCCTCTTGCTACAGAACAGACAAGGTCAGTTTTCCCATCTCCACTAGTTCCCACAACGTGTTTTATAGTCTTGATACTTATATGTGGAGAGGGGGAGAAAGTTCAAAGGCATCCAGTCCTAAAGCACAAGACAACTCCAAAGTACCTTTGTTTTCAGATCATTAAGAACATCTGCTATGGTACTTTGTTTTGGCAATCTGATAGTATGGATAGTCACCTGAAAATAGTCGGTCCAAAATTATATTACAGAAAGATGAGGTAAAAAGTGTCATAAAAGCATAAAAGAATGACTTTCAGCACTCACTTCATCTTTGGCAGAATGATAAAAAGTAACTTTGAGAGTTTTTAAGCCCTGAAGCTCTGGTAAAGGAATATCCAGGACTTCATAATACAAAATATCTGAAGTCTATCCAAAGAGGAGGAATGATGTCAACAAACAATAGTTAGTAATAAACAATTATTTGCAGTAAGCAGATACCTGCATATCTAGGAAGATTCAAAAAAAGACAAAATACCTGATTATAGTGACTAAGCATTTCTGTGAGACGATCAACTCCACGATACCTTATTGGCTGAGGTTTTGGCTGCTGTGAGTAGCAGTTATGTGATGTAAGCCTTACTCTTGATGGATCATCCAGGCGAAGATGGCGAGCTAAGCATTCAACAACTTCATCATAGTTGTTCTGCTTTGACCTAGAATTATGTGTCATCAACCAATGAAAAGAGTTGACACAAGATCAACCTAGAACTAATAATTATACAAAACCAGATACATACAAATCAAGACTGAACTCGTCCTCCTTGGGTTTCTCCAATGAGCGAAAACGAACAACCTGGAAACCATAGAATAGAGCTCATAACTGTAAAATGATAAGGCTTTTAAGCATATACATCAAAATCAATGAATATCCTTTTTGAACTCCATCCCAGTCGAACTAGGATCCAAAATTGGGTCAAAGCTAGCAAAATAAAGTAAGGCAGGCGTAATGTTATAGCTATCATCAACATCTATTTCAGTACTGTAACAATCTTTTATACTCCAAGGGGCCAATATCACAATAAGAGCATGCAGCACAAACCTGGCGATTGTGCACGTACTCCAAAAATGAAGGAACCTCTGGAAAGCGATATTGTTCATTCCCTTGCTTCCGAAAGGATTTCTGAAAGCAAATAATGTCCCCATCTTCTAGCTGCAAAGACAGATTAGTGGATAAAACTTTTCATTGCTAATAGATCCAGCAGAATTAAAAAAACAACTATTGAACGCCTACACAAGCAAATGCATAAAAACCCCAAAGTGGATACTGACAATTGATTCCACATACCTGACAGCCACGAAAACTCAGATTCATGTTAATGTGTTCACACATCACATTTGGTTCAAATTTTATTTCCTGCAAATAACAAACCTGAAAAATCACACATCCTATATTTTGAGTTTAAAAAACTTGCAGAAAAAGAAGAAGAACAATTAACCTCAAAAAGTTCAATTTCTTCATCAGGCAAAAAGCCAGCCAACTCATTTAGCTTTGCAAGTATCTCCAGTGGCTTGCCACTTCCTTTTACAAAAAGCCGTCCAACATACCTGACAACAAAAAGGAAATTAATGAGACTGAACAAAAATACCACATCCACAGCATGGCTTCTCATATACACAGCCCCAAACAGTTCCAAACAGCACTTCAAAGGTCCAAATGCATTAAAATTTCAGATTAACCCTTTCAACAAGATGTCCTTATCAAGCCCAAAAGAAATCGCAAAAAAATAATAAATGTTTTCTTCTTATTTTTTCCCTATTCATTGTATACTCATGCTAACTTTGGTGTCACATTTAAATCCTTAAAATGTTTTAAACCTCCAGATTGAGTAAAAGTAAAAAAAAAAAAACACCTTTCCATGTAGTTGTGTTCTCAAAAAATAAATGAGCAGATCCCAAATTCAGACATGAAAATCACTACTTCAGTGTTAGTTTTCCAGCTATAGAGAAGTAAGATGTAATACCTTATCTCCTCTTTCAAAGGGTCATAAAGTTTGAAAAAGAGAAGGATATCTTCCTTGGTCTTCTCTGGTGGAGGAAAAGGTTGCAAATCCTGCAACAACAGACAAAAACAAATAGAATGCAAAAGTAAAACATGGAGAATAAAGAAAACATGCAACATGCAAATCAAAAGAGAAGACAAGTAAGCAACCGATACATTACCAGGCCAAATTCTATTTCCAAGAACAATTTTAGCTCAGCATGATTCGCTTTATTTGAAACCTCCCTCAGTTGACCAACCTAAAAACACAATATGTAAGATCTTGAAAACCAAGTTAACCAAGCATTCCCATTCTTCAACAGATTGCAGGAATGCCAGAAAAAAACAATGAAGAATACACACTTCAAGAATATCACTCTCAAGGGGGCATGAAGGTCCCGACACTTGGTCCAATCAAAAGACATGTCTAGATCGAGATCGAGATCGAGGGAGGGAGGGAGTGAGGGAGAGACAGACAGACAGAGAGAGAGAAAGAGACCAATTGACTTGTGAACCAACCATGGATGAATCAACATGAACAGAAAAACTGATCCTATTCACTAACACAGGAAGGCATCTATTTTGGTACATTTGAGGATATTGGTGGATGCCAAATTCATAAACAAGGTTTTCAGGCACCAGAGTTAAGCTACTTAGCATACAAATTCATTAACCTTTACCTAAAACATTTATTCATACGAAGACAGATAAAGCAAAGAGAATTTACAGAATCTAACTGCCATATAGCTGCAGACTATATAATGAATTGTCTGGTAATGACCTACAGCTTACACCAATGACAAATATATCATGCTAAGATCATTCTTTTTCTTTTTTTTTGATGACAAGGAAAACCCGCAGCCGCTACCCTTTGGGTGCGCACAGGGTAAAACCCCTGCGCCTATGCAATAGCTCGCAAACCACATAGGAGAGGTAACCCGCACTAGGCAAGCCTGGTGCAACGAGCTCGACCCAGAAGGCAAACCCCTTGCTTTCGCTGGCAAGGGGTTTCGAACTTGAGACCTCCAACATGGAAGTCCCAAGCTCAAACCACTGGGCCACCCCGAAATATAGCAAAGGACATCACCAATTACAGTCATAATTCAGATGCAGAGTACACGGCAGAGAGGTAGGATTGTCAGACAGAACTTACAGATTGAAGTTCCTCTTGAGCTGTCAATGGACGATTAGGCCGATATGTATGGTTCTGGCGCTTTGCCCATAGCCAGTAACGTTGAAATTGAACTGGTATGCCAAATTCCTTAGCAACTTCCTCCTGAGAACAGACATACCATCAGACACATGTCAAACTTAAGAACTACAGTGATTGACCAATGATTATCATAAGATATATGTTTATTATCTTGTCTGCTGAAAGCATAAACAATTTTCATGAACCCTCTTAGCTAACCACCATGAGAACTCCACATTCTCCTGAATATTTTGATTGCTTGTTCTCCTCAATTTTAGCTATATAAGCACTAGAATTTGAAGTTTTATCTCTCTCAAAATAATACACAAGTACAGAAGTTCACAATTTACATTTGAGAAGCAAAAAATTTCACATGAATCCTCTTAATTTAACATGGTCAAACTCGCATTCCATGCAGCACATACAATTGCTCGTCATGTTTAATAAGAGCAGTATGGTTATAACTTATCCAAATCTACAAGAAAAGGAAATGCAGAAGAATGATACCTTGAATTGAGCAAATGGCATCTGCTTCTGAATACGGAAACTATGCACTTTATCATGATCCACAAGATCAAAATAGATCTCCTTTCCAATTTGTTCACCAAGGTCTTCATCACGAGCTACCTGTAAATGAAATGGCCATTTTCAGTTAAACATTCTGTAAATTTAAAGATGCAAGAAGTAAAGGATATAGACTAGTAGTTGAAAGAAACCTTAATGATTGTATAGAGGTGAGCCTCTGCTTTCTCCTTTCTCTTTTGTTCCTTTCCTTCTTGCTCCTTCTTTAGTCTTATCTGAAATTAGAGGTTGATAGATTACTATGGCTGAACAAAACAGAAACCAAATCAATAGTATTGAGTTGAAACCCACCCTGAGATGCTCGGCTATGTCCTTCTCATCCACATCGCATATGATCTTTTCCTTGTCACTTTCACGTATATAGACAAGCATATACGCATTTGAATATTTTGTAAATTTAAATGGTGAATTGTTGAACCCAGGATTTGTGTGGGGTAACTGTTAAGAAGAAATGGACACTTAACATGTGCAATACATAAAATAAATTTTCTTCATACGTATAACATTTTTCTAACATAGAAGGCATAAGTATAAGTAAAAAGGGTGCAAAGAATAGGAAAAATACCTCTTCCTCACCACCATATTGTTCATCCAGAGCTCTCTTTGTATCTTCTTTTGTCACACGCTCATCATCAAATTTATACCTAAAAGTAAGAAATGCATAATGAATCAAACCAGTAATCAGGGATAGTAGAATCTCTGAACATTGTCAATGTGAAGCAGCCATTAAGAAGAACCAAAGCCAAAACTGCCTGGCAAGCAGAGACAGGTGGACTACTGAATAAGGGCATATATCTGATACAGGTACATTCAAATTTTAGCGAGTTTTTACATATTCTGAAGGATCCTTAAGAAGTACATAGAAAATGAGTATAACAAATTTGAAGCTCCAGAACATGTCAAATCTTCCTTGGGCTGAGCTACAAATCTAGAGAACACTAGAAAAGGGTGCATGTGATAGAAACACCCAATTATAAATGCTGGAGAAAAATGTATGACGGTGCAACAAACTGCATACCACTGATCAGACAGTGTAGGCCTGATATATGCATAATAGTGTCCCCCGTGCACCCCACCGCTGTGAACTAAAACACTGAAAAAAAAATAGAAAAAAAAAAATAATTAGTACAAAATTCACAAGTAATAAGCATCATGCAACATAATTGCGTGAAGTAACTGAAAATTGAGAATGAACAGCTATCATGGTTGACGGCCCAAGTTTGTTAGACATCATACAAAAATAAGTAAAACCTGCAGTCAAGCACTATAGTAGATGCCAAACAAGAAGGTAGAACTGGGAGAAACAGATGTTAATGATATCGACGATTACAACAGAAGCTGCCTACGAGAAAAGCCATCATTTTCCACTAGAATAGTATCTTGCAATTTTATAGAAAGAAATGAAATAAATCCCCTGCGAATACACATAAAAACTGAAATAAATCCCATGCCGGTATCCAAAACAGGGCTGAACCAATATTTCAAATTACTGGTTCATACATGGATGAGATGAAGAACTCTCAGTACCCTCCTATTGGGACCACATAAGATCAAATAACCTCAGCTGGACTCAGGGGAACACAATATAAACGCAATAAGACATTTCTGATTGACTACAAATAACCAAAAAAATTGTACTAAGAAATGCTGAAAACAGTTGAACAGAGTGAAAATTATACCAACATTGTTACAAGTGAGGATGAAATTAAATTTGCAATGAATATGAGCATCCAACCAAAACCTTAAGGAAACTGGCGGAGTAGCCCAACCCACAATAAAACCCTTTGGAAACCTTCAAAAAGCAATACGGGACAAGCATATTCCAACACTTCCCACATGTGAAACCTGTTTTTAAGTTTATATGTGGTCACTTTACTTTTAATTTTTTCCTTATGTTTGGAAGATTAAAATAGCTCCACAGGCTAAAGTGTGGGCCTAGACTAGACCAAGTAAGCTCAAGATGAGAATGGGCATAAAGAAGACTCAATGTGCTAAGAAATGTCTTCCTAACAGAACTAAATATTTGCGGACTGATTAGAGAGAAGAGCCTAGAGAAGCTCAGTGGGTTGAGATGCGAGAGAGAAGCCCAATGCAATGGAATAAGTAGAGAGAAAATGGTTGTGCAAACGGGTTCACCAAAGTTTTCCCTGTTACCATGTAAAAATATAAACATACAATCCAATCCAAAACCAGGAGGCAATGGGTGAATAGCCGACGACAATTACGAACCCCTTAGGAAACCTAAAACCGATGTGGGACAAGTATATTCCAATAAAATAAAGGGAACAAAAAAGGTAGGATAACCAACCTATATCCAGAATATAGTTGAGATTATATTTTGCTATCTTGTCAGCAAGAGTATGTCATGTTTGACTAAAGCATATGTGTCACATTGTAACTTTTGCATGATCTCAATGCTAGAATACTATAGAAGAAGAAAAAAACAGTCACTAAGATCAATTTAATTTGGAGAAGGAAGATGCAAAAAAGGGAGAAGTGGCACTTTGCACATAATCACTTGAAACTCGGTGGAAAGGGAAAAACAAACTTAAGTTCACAATATAAGACCTACGTTTCCCAATTTCCATGTTTACAGGAACTAGTTTTAGGTGATATACCAATGAATCAATCAACTGCGACCAATGTCCAATCCTAGATTAGTTGGGAGTTGTTCAAGGTTGGAACCACAATATGAGCAATATGAACGAATGCTGTGGATGATTTGAGTTGAGTCATTCTCTCAACCCGTACATACTTTGACATGGACTTAATGATGATATTATGAAATTATTGACATATTAGGAAGTGTGAGCCCTATTGCTTTGTACAATGGTGTTGTTAAAGTTTTCAACTACCAAAACAAATAAAAAAGGCAAAAGCAAATGTAACCTGATTAAGGGAGATTACAAGATTCCATTCACCAGCGGATAGCCAATTTTACATCAGCAAACTCGTTACAAGTATGCCACTTTAAAAACTATTGATGTTTCAAAAACCAGAAGAAGAGCATGTAGACGAATCAAGCCTAAAGTAAACCAAGTATGACATAGTGAGGTTGATCAGAAAAGAACATGGCGCAGAAGTAACAAAGTGATTAAACTGGTCCAAATAAAATGAGATATCAACTGTATATTTGGATGACCAATGATATACAATAGCAGATGATCCCAAGCCATCTAAATTTGTGGCAAATATAGCTAGTTAACTAACAACAGAAGAAAATATTGAACATGAAGAATGTGAAACCACTAAGATTATATCTTTGCCGAACTGCCACGTTATTCAACTTAATGGTTGACCAAAAAAGTTCATGAAAAAATAAGCAATAACTAGCAAGGACAGAACATTAAGAAAACAGAAAAAATTGAGACCTGTGCAGAGTATAGAGATTGCGGACACTTCGATCAGCATCTGGAGATAAATATTTTCCGTTCCCTCTATCAAGATCAAGTTGCAAAGGGAACTCATATCGATCATTTATCTATATTGACAATAAAAAAAAGTGATAAGCATTATGTGGCAAACATAAAGTTATAAGTCGAGCACGCTAACAGTAGCACTTATCACTACAAACCATCTCCTCGAAATTTATCTCAAGATGAGTAACTTCCTTACCACAATAAAATAAGAAAAAATGAAAAATAGAGTATTACTCCAGATGAGAGACATATGGAGAAAAAAGTGACACGCTGCTTTATCCATGAAAATCTGGGATCCAATAAGCATGAAACTTCCATGTAATGTAGAAAAACAAATAAGACTAAACCAAATAGCATTGTTTTTATCATAATCTACTTTCCATATTGTACATAGGACACCAGGACTCTCCTTAATTAAATATAAAAAATTTATTCTCAAAAACAAAAAAAAAAAAAAATTATAAAAATTTCTCCGAGATGGCTATTTATCTCATTCAAAGAAAAGAATAAAATGTTCCCTCCCTAGTTGGCTAGAGCTTTACAAGCAAGTGAGAATTAATTAATTACCTTGATCATAGCATCCCGCACAAAATCGTATTCAAAGCGTTTTAACTGAAGTTGAAGAACAGGAGGGAAGTCAATGAAAAGGACACCTTTCCGAGCATCCTGTAAAACTAGGAATTAGCTACGAATATATCAGATATCATAACTTTACAATCCAAGCATGACACTACAAGAAAGGGAGGATAAGGAAATAACACAAATATCATCTATTAGGTGTGTTTACCAAACTTCCACACAGCTCATTGACATCCTTCTCTTCTTACAATTTTCTTTTTAGCTTTATAAATCCATGCACCACTTATTCTTTATCATTCCCTGGCTCAAACTTTCAATAAATATGCAAATTTGTAAACCACTAGCTCACACCTCACAAAAACTTTTTTGTTTGATAAGGCAAACGTATTTTCATTCATAAACATGGCCAAAAAGCTGGCCGTATACAAGGAGTATACCAAAAGGTAAAGAATCTACAATAATAAATGATTCTCTACAAACTCCACCCAATCTCCTATAAAACATGGAATTCGATAAGTGCACCGGAAGAAAACAAGGGACGCTCATAGAAATATTAAAGACAGTTAACCTGTAAACCATGTTGTTCTGCTTGGTATTTGTTGTCACCCTCGAGGCGTTCCACTTCAACATACTTGTCAAATGAAGCATATACATCACGACACCCTTTCACATCAAGCTGAAGATCTGATCAAAGATACATTTTCATAAACAAAATGATAAAATGGTGTTCCAAATTCAATACAAAAGCCATCATAAAAAGTTATGCTGGCTCAATAGGTGCTATATCTACCATAAAAAGATTCTTTTCTTGTTGATTTGTAGTCCACATTGATACATTCGATGTAATTCATATGATGCCCCTCAAGTAATTGTTGTATTGTGCCCTCTACAACAGTTCCCTGAGTCAAGAAACCAAAGTTAATAGAAAACAATAATCGGAAGCAATAATCTCACCTATAAAGAAGTATAGTATAAAAGGTGTCTGCAAGTTCTAAGTGTCCAATTCCATTATACAAATTACCTTCATCTTATCTTCGAGCTTTTCACAAAGAACCCTGTTAAGTTCTTGTACATCATGCTGCATGAAAGACTCATAGGTGTCCCACCCAAAGGACTTTGTTAATTCTTTTGTTGCTACACTAGTGTCGTTATACTGGAGCTTATAAAACAAACTCTGCAAAGCTAAAGGGATGCTGCCAGATGGATTGTCATTCTCAGTTGTTGGCATATGATACACAGCCTGAGAAACAAGAAGGAATTAATCATATGTATGAAGATAATATCAAAGAAATCATTCATTTACAAGGCTAACCTTTCTAAAATAAGGAATATGGTATAGTGTCTGGAGGAGAGAGTTCATATAACAAGTGGCTCCCTGATTCTTAAGGCCAACATAACCAGTCTCTTTTTTAGAGTCATGGGACCAGTAATCAGTGACTTTACGGACAGCAACATCAGCTTCAATAATGACGGTATCATCCATAAGATAACCTTTCCCAGGATCATATAGTTCACCAAGAGGCATGAATGATGTGAAACCCCAGTCACTCTCCCTTGCATTAAACTGGTGCTGAGTATCTGCCATAAGGATCATAACATTTAACAAAACAGCCATCACTTCTACAAATCAAATCACAATACTCCGACATATATTAAGACCCCTCAAAGATAGAGAGCAATGGAAGCAGCATCATAAAATAAAGATCTCAAGACACATAAGTTAGAAAGGTCTCACACTCTCGCTAGCTTACTAAGAAAGAATTCAGGATATCTAAGAGAAGACAATAACTGAATCAAGTTTCCTTCAGAGTAATCCCCAATCGTGATTATATTCTCTCTCTCCAATGCAAGAATGTGACTACACACACCATCTAATTATTTATCTTCGACAAGCTGCTTGATATCCCTTCTCAGGAGAGCTTTGAGGGTTAAGTTAAGAAGAGATGGACAAAGTTCTGCAGCATTTCCAAATTCACACTTTAGAGAAGGTCAAGATCATTCCATTCAGATCTTTCAGGCGGTCCCTACAAAAGATGCATTCCATAGGACCATCTAGAAAACTATCGCGGTCATCAAGATCCCAAAGATAAGTCTTTGAAGGATCAGATATTTGATGCTGTTCCCCAATGAATGAAGAATCAAATGATCTGCACCACTAACCCAATTTGCACAGGCACTCTATACAGGTGGGAGGTGAACCTTGGTTCATGGTATAGTTGTTCCTTTGGTTTCCGCGACCTAGGCCTCGGGTTATAGGCATAAAAGCAGCTCCTATCAGAAATTCAAGGGAAAGGCTACTAACAGTAGACCCTCACTTTCCCTTAACCTCCTGTACTAGGGGTGCATGGCTAAGCCCTCTACTCTATGCAAGGTGGCAACGAATAGAGAAAAGAAGATAGTTAGTGATTATCTCGTGGCTTACGTCTGAATAGGCCCATGTAAACCATTGAAATGCAAGAATTGTCTCTTACAAAGAGGCCATCCTCCTCCTCAAGTTTATTCCAGACAACCACGGCCAAACACTCCACAAGCTAATAGTTGATGCTTATGTTTATGATTCTACACATGGTACATACACACAATGTTTGCCGAGTGACTCATCATTTCAACAACATCCCTATTTCCGTTGAGCACTCATTATTTTTTGAAACTAGTAGCGACTATATATATATATATATCAAAATTACACCACAACAGTGCAAAAGACTTTACAAAATCCCAACCAAGCTTAGGCTGCTGCTTCACAAGGATCCTATCATATCAACTAGTGATTCAGCCTCCTCAGCATAGCTTTCTTTACACCAAAAATAAAACAAAAATATACAATTCATCTTGATTTTCTCCACAAAATTATATTTTTCTTGAAAAGCTCTATAGTTCCTCTCCTTCCAAATGGTCCACCTTATGCAAGCAGGGACAAGTTTCCACCAATTTTTCTGACTATCTGCCCCATCATTCTGGTTCCATCATTTCAGCAAATCAACACTTGTTGCTGGCATTGACCATCTGATCCATACCATGTTCAAGAATACTTGCCATAATTGTCCAGTAACAAGACAATGAATGAATAGGTGACTATTATTTTCCCCAGCAGCTCCACACGATAAGCATCTAGGACACAGTTGGAATCCCCTTCTTTGAAGTTTATCCTGTGTGAAGCAAGCATTTCTTTCTACTAGCCAAGAAAAGCATACCACCTTAAAAGGAACCTTCATCTTCCAAATGGATCTCCATGGCCACTGATTAGTTGACTATTTGTGCCTAATCAGAATGGTATAAACTGAGTTTACAGAATAAATTCCTTTATTAGTGGGCTTCCATATAAGTGAATCTTCAGTGTCTTTGAACCCTTGGAATGATTCCAAGGTCTTGAAAAATTCAACAACTCTTTCCAACACCAATCATGCAGTAGCCTTCTAAAAGTATTTTTCCATTCATGTACTCCTTTTGATGATTCCAGACTAATGTCTGTCATAAGATGAAGTTGATCTTCCTATTATTTGAAAAGGAATCTAGACTACTCACAACACTCATCTTGTTTATAATTTCTTGAGTTGTCACTATTTTCAGCCATCATATCATGCCTTCATTATTCAACTTAGCCACTGACAAAGGATGTAAGACTTTGGCAAAGGTGATAGCTATCTGGGTTGGCTATGATTGAGGAAATAATTGTTTGTGATACTAGTACTTAGGAAATAGTTCCTTTACCACCAGGAAAATCAATAGCTAGATGTCGGTGGGTATTTACAATCAAGGTAGGTGCTGGCAAGAAGATCGTTCGCTAAGGGATTGATCTTGACTATGGTGATACCTTTTCTCCAATAGCGAAGATTGCATCTGTTTGCCTCCTTTATCTCTATAACAGTCATGTCTTATTGATTGGATATCAAACATATCTTTCGTCATGGCAAACTTGCTTCGGAAGTCTACATAAAGCAACCCCAAGGATTTGATGCTCACATGGAATCTAAGTGTCTATTGTCAATCTTTGTTTTTTTTTTTGACAAGTAAGTTGCTCAGACACATGTGCGGGTGTCCGATACAGGTGCGGATCTAGAGGTCGGATCCTTCGTGATCTAGTTTTTAAGATTCGGGTATATGGATCCATGTATGGATAAGGATGCGGGGATTCGACTAAAAATAATTAAAATATCTAAAAATAGAGTTATAAAACCTAAATTATAAGATATTATATGGAGAACTTGAGGAGAATCTCGGAAGGAAATTAAAGGAAAAGGAGTGACATGGAAATTTTTATATAAAAGGTATTCTATTTTCTTTAATTTCACCCTAACTTTTGTATTGATTATAGGAATCATTAAAATTGTCCAGACTTTCCCCATCGATTTTGGTCAAAGTACCCAAAATTTGTTGACCAAATCAGACACGGATCCCACACCCATGGCGTTTAAACACAAGTTCGGCACCAAAGTGAAGAGTCAGAGCAACTTATGTAAACATATTTTCATTCATAAATATGGCCACAAAACTGCCTGTATACAAAGGCATTTGATTGTCAATCTTTGTCTAGTCTCAAGCAATCACTAAAGGATTGATTTGACTGTTTTAGCACAGTTGTGCAACAATTTGGCATGCTTATAAGTGAATCCAATCTATGTGTTCTATAAACATTCTTATAGTGGCAACTCATTTATTGGTTATTTACATAAGAGACATTTCTATAACCAGTGATGATCATTAAGACATTACTCAACTTAAGTTGAGTATCTTGATGGTCATTTCCAAACTAAAAACAAGGTAAACGACACTTCCTAGGTATTGGGGTGGGCACAGTCCAGCAGTAGGCCTGTCATTTCATCAACGAAGAATGCTTTGGACACTTTGACATGTTGAATTGTGAACCTATTGATAATTATATGGACCTGAATGTTATCTTCTTCATGGATGGCGATTCTTGCGGACGTACTCGGGTACTTCCTAAGCAGGGCCTTTGACGAACCTCAGTTGTTACCAAATATAGGCCAACAAGGGCAATTATCTTACGTTCACATGATCAGCCATCTCATTTCCTATGGGTGTTATTAGTTAGTTTCTCCAATCTCCTTATGGCAATCATTGGAATGCAATGATCCGTATTATAAGGGATATCAAATCTTCACATTGAGTCCTGGACACGGCCAATATAGTATGAAGACATGGGACATGCAAATAATACGAGATATGCAAATTGAGCAAGTCCCTCGTATAGACCGTCCACTTCAGGGTACTGAGTTCAAATTGGAGGAAATCTAGTATCTTGGAAAAGCAAAAGGCAAGATGTAGTAGTTCGATCAAGTACAAAGGTAAAATATCGAGCAATGGCATTGTTTATATCCGTGTTTATATGGCTAAAGAAACTTCTCGAAGGATTAATGTTGGGAGGAGATGCGCTAATGCAATTGATATGGGATAATCAAATCGCGATACATATTGCTTCAAACCAATGCTTCATCGCGATACAATTTTTCCTAAAAAGCTTTTGTATAAAATACAAAAAATCCATTATCCAAAATAATATTTATTATAGTTTTTTTATTTTTTGCTATTGAGTTTAAATACGATTGTCTTTCTTATATTTTACTTATATTTTATGATTGGTAGCTAAGGGAGCACCCACAACCTTAAAATCCTGGATTCGCCACCGACTCTAGTCGTTCTTCTTTCAATTGTTCTAATATTTGCTTCGTTGTACAAAAGTATCATAACGTGAGTAACATTTGATTGAATCGTAAAGAAGTCGTTCAACTTTACATAAGCACTTGGGTATGTGCATTTCATGTATATCTCGTGTTTTATTATAAAATTTGTGTCTCAATTTACTAGCAATTGAAAATTCTTTACCCACATTTTACTTATTTTACAACGAGCGCTAAAACTTGTACACCTTAGTAATCACATAGGCACCTGAACTTGACAAATAATTAATTGTTCATATAAATTTTTAGCACAATCGTATCTTATTCTACCTATAATTTCTTTCTAAAGTACTTTATGTACCATAATTCATTACATTTTTACTGTCGCCAAAACTGGCCAGCACTACATGGGTGGCACCAGAAATACATAAGGTATCGACTCCTCAACTGCACAAAAGTCAAATCTACTCCTTCAAAAGCTCTCTTATTTCTCTCTCTTCAAATGATCCACATCAAAGCTAAAGGAACAACACCCTAAGCTTTGCATTTTCTCCTGCTTCTTCCGATTTTCAGACAAAACAAAATTTCCTTCATAGATCTAGGCATCACCCAAGATATATCCCAACACATAAGTACATTATGTTCCTATTCTTAATCCCTTATACAAAAAATTAATCAACTTTTTACCCTTTTAATATGGAATTCACATTAGAAAAATTGTCATTTAATCATTTTCTAATATTTATGACTTCAATTAAGTCGATTTGACAATAAAAGTGGACAAAGAATTTGAGTGTACTTCCAATTCAAAGTCCTTCCATTGTTCAAAAAAAACTCCTATTTGCTCTTAAAGTTCTAAATTCACTCCCACCGCTTTGCTATGTATGAGTTATCATTAATGCTTCCTTAAATACTTTTTATCAAAACAATATTTTATGTGCCCTTGTACATATTACGGCGAAAAAGTTGCAAGATCTATTAACTATTTTAATTACGTTAAAAAGGGCACATTAATTTATTCTTATTTCCATTGTAGATAAATCCATTAAAAGTAACATGAAAGAAAAAAAAAAAAAAAAAAAAAAAATATATATATATATATATATATTTATGTAATATATAGAATAAGGTAAAATCTTAATTGATTTTAAAATCCTAAATTTTAGGACTTCCTACCTAGTTCAAACAAGGAAAGATTTAATAACCAAAACTTTAGTCGATTTCAAAGTTCTAAATATTAGGAAAATAATAAACGACTATTTTGTCTAGTGTGAATCAATTATTAAAGATAAGAAAACAAACGACATTTTGCAAAGGGGCTTTGTACTCCTTAATATATACAGATTACAAAGACAAAATCACTTCCATTTCCTTTCTTGGATTACTTTTCCTTCCTATTTAGGCTACTTGTATACACTACTTAAATCCCAACATGTTTGAGAGAGTAATTAAGCAATTCATTCTCAAATCTCTTCTTTATTTACTTTTTTTTTTCTGACATTTGGAACTTTTCTTTCTTTGCTAATTTAATGAACAGATCATTTCAGACTTGCCAGTACGAAAAAGGCCTAGAAATGTTATATGTAAATAAAGTAAGATAAAGCGAAAGACATTCATGCAATCACATATTTAGACAAATAAAAGAATCTTGTGGAGAATTAGCATGAAATAAAGTAAAGATAAAGCAATAAGATATTGAATCATTCAGCAAAACAAATAAAAGAATCTCGTGGAGAATTAGCATCACTATATTGAAGCATGTCATCAGAAGAATAGAGCAATAAGACATTCGTGCAATCACATATTTAAACACATACAAAAGTTCATATCTTTTATACAACAAATAAGATCTCTGACCTTTTTTTACTGTTAACTTGTTATTCATTCGATTGATAACAGCTAAGCTAAACTGAGCAAATCTACTCCAACCATAAGGCAATGTTGCAGCATCCGCCACATCTAAATACATTGATAAATGGTCTGCATTGTTCCCCTTTGGGAATATCAGAATCCTCCTGCAAGACAATGCACCGTATAGGACATCATTATCATATCCGCATTAAATTTGTAAGCCAATCCACTAAAAAATGGGTTGTTGAATATAATTACCATTTAAATCCTCCTACATTAAAAGGATCAGAGTACAACTTCTTCACATTCAACCTTGAAAATTTTTCGACAGTCCATGTGAACCGGGCTGATGCCGGATCATCCACCGCTTGTGCATCAACCGTATTTGTCGTAACTGCTGGTGCAACTGCCAAAACTAAGGCATGCAAAAAAAAAAAAAAAAAAAAAAAGATGACTGAGACAAAAATACAGTATCACTTATTCAGTCGACAACACCTCAATCCCAAATCTTGTTGGGGTCAGTGATACATTCTACAAACTCTGGTCAATTGTGCTCTGTTTCATACTAATACTAGTATGGAATTAGAGCAAATTACACATACTAAAATTTAATCAATGCAAGAATGTGCAGACATCATATATTTCACCAGTAGCATAAGAAAAGTGACATCAAATGATAAACAAAAATGACTACACGTAAATTATTTGTACAAGTGTGTCTATGTGTGTGTGGAAGTACGTGAGATACCTTCCATAGGCTGAGGTCCCTCGGTAGGAAAGTCAGAACTAGGAACAAGCATTTCGTGGTCTTCTGGCTGCCAAAGACGAAGCAATAAAGTAAGTAATTAGACCTAACAACACTGGGGCAATTTTGATCATTCACATCTAAAAAGAGAAATTTATGAAATTTTTACACCACGATATCATCGAAATATTAAATTCAGCACATATTCATCCAAAAGATCAAACTACTTCGAACTCCAAAAAAGCATCATAAGTTTAGCAAAAATCCATCAAACAAAACATTAAACAGCATAATAGATACGCTAAACAAACTAAACAAAGTGAATTGACACATCAATGTAGCTGATAAATTCGGTTACCATTTTAAAGAAATTTTAGGTCAATTTCACACCACAATCACACCGGACTACATTCAGCACCTATAAATCAAAAGCATTCAAAACTACACCAAGCAAAGCTACTTTTAACGAATAATATGCAAAACAAAGTAAAAACTGTACAAGCAAAATGAATTCACACAGCAATCTAACTAATAAATCCAGTCACTATCGCGTTTTAAGGAATTTTAAGGTCAATTTCACACGGCAATCACAGTGGACTACATTCAAACCTATAAATCAAAAACATTCAACATTTTAAAAACTACACCAAGCAAAGCTACTTTAAGCAAATAATACACAAAAGCAACTTCAAACAAAACAAAAAAATATGCAAAACTAACGAAAAACTGTAGAAGCAAAATGAATTCACACAGCGACATAGCTCATAAAATTCAGTCACTATTGCTTTTTAAAGAAATTTTTAGGTCAATTTCACATGGCAATCGCAGCAGACTACATTCAGCACCAAAAAATCAAAAACATTCAACATTTTAAAAACTACACCAAGCAAATCAGTATTAAGCAAATAATGCGCAAAAACAAAAAATATGCGATACAAAGGAAAATCAGTTAAAACAAAGTGAATTCACACAGAATCCTAGCTAATAAATCCAGTCACCATAGCTTTCTAAACAAATTTTAGGTCAATTTCACGCCGTAATCAGAGCAGACCAACACTCAGCACCTAAAAATCAAAAGCATTCAAAATTTTAAAAGCTACTTTAATAAAATAACCCCTGAACAAACTAGGAAAGTCCTCCAAAATGATAAAAATACACAAAACAAACTAAAACTGTAAACGCAAACCGCAAAAAATAACAAAAAACGGAAATGGAGATTACATCTAGCAGAGCGTCGTCTTAAATTCATCAACTATATCCACCAAAAACAGCGCAACTTTAAACAAAAACAAACTGAATTCACACAGTAACCTAGCTCATAAAATTCAGTCACGATTGAACTTTTAAGCAAATTTTACGTCAATCAACATTCATCACCTATTTAATCAAAACAATTAACAATTTCAAAAACTAAACTACAAAATCTTCACAAAGCAAAAAAAAATAACAGATGATTAGAAATGAAGATTACTTACATCTATCGGCGGAGGCGTGAGCAGAGTCATTGCCGGAAAACAGTAACCGTACGATCGTCCGGCGAATCGGAGAATTGAGAATTCAGAGGATTTGGAGAAGGCGATGGATCGAAAGACTTTGTGTTGAGTAAATGAGTGCAAGGACTGAGAAAATGAAGAAGAGGTAGTGAAGAAAGGAAAAGAGGTTTATATTGGGGTAATTTGGCAATTATGACAACTATTATATATATATTTTTATTTATTTATTATTATTAAAGTTTATTTTATTTGATTGTAATAGTGATAATGATTCCAAAAAAGGTATAATAATAATTGAAAATTTAAATATGTTCATTTTAATTTAATAAAAATAAAAATTAATTAATAGTAGATATTTAAAATAGTTTATCTCTATAAAATAATTTTAATACATTAATAATTGTCCTTTTTTGTAATTTGATTATCAAAAGCATTGTTTTAAAAAGATTAGTCAAACGTAATTTGATTATGGAAAGTACTTCTCAAATGAATTAGTCAAATACAAATTGTTTTTTTTTTCAAAAATACTTTTCTAAAAGTCATTTCAAAAAACACTTCTAAAAATAAGTTGTTTTTAACCGTAGCAAAACATGCTCTTAATCGTGTGGTATTAAATATGTCAAGTAAAAAGTTAGAATTAAACTGTTTGTAAAAGAAATGTAGACAGATCAATTGAAATGGAGGGAGTATATGATTTTTTGTCTCAATTTATATAGTAGTGTTTGAATTTCGACATTCAAATGAGTTTTCTTATTATACTTTTTTATGTTTTTAAACTTGTTAATTATTGTAATTTATAGTACTATTTTACATAATTTTCGAATATGTCAATTATGTTTTTAAAATTTTAAAGATTTTTATATATGAATTCACGATAAAAATAAAAAGTTTAATTCAAGTTATAAACATGAATTGAACAAAATTAAATGTGTGTGTATATTAATGTTGTAAATATCTTTGGATGAGTCATCAAATATGTAATATACGTACATGAAAAGTATAAAGAGTTTTTTTTTTTATATTGATGTAATTTAACGTATTATAACAAGTTAATTATTATTTTAATTTATTTATTGTAAATAGTTAATAATAATAATAATAATTACCTGATAAATAAATTTGATTGTGTAAATAATTTTTAAATCTTATTAATACATAATAAAATAATAATATGAAGTAAACTCCATTTATTGTTGTTGTTCTACTTTTTCTTTAGGATTATTTCATGTATAAGGAGGTTATTTCATGGCATTGAGTATTTATTATTGATGGACATAATTGTCTTAATTTTGTAGTACTTTGAATTTTAGTGTGTCTATTTCAAGGCATAATACATATATTGGACCCTAAACTTGACTTCAAATTTTAACTTTGACCTCCAACTTTCAAAGTGCACAAACAGACACTTTAACTATACAACTTTTAAATAAATAAACACACGATTTTTGCAGCCAAAGAGCGTGAAATACAAACGCTCCAACGTGTATTAGTGAGCCACTCAATGGCTGCCAACTAATTAAATATTTTACACGTCATTTTAGAACTAAAAAAAATCAAAATTAATTCCTCCTAATGTTTTTTAGAGCTTGGAGCTCATTGTTTGACGGAGCTTAGAGGTTTGTTGATGGTTGGCTTCTTGGTTTAGGTGTTTGTGGTTGTTGGGTCTGTTTTCATGGGGTTTGGGGGGTCATTTGGATTCTCGCCAGAGATGGCGGATCTGATGGGTTTGGGGCAAGCTCGAAGCTCGTTCGCTTCATGAGTTGTGTTCTGGTGTGAGGAAGAAGGAGAACGGTTGGGTATTTGGTGGCATTTTGCTTGAAAAAGAAGAAAATGAACGGAAGTTTTGGGTTGCTGGAGATTGGCCGGAATCTGGGGGGTAGAGTTGTCATTTCAGCATTTTTTTACTGTTGTGGGACTCAAAAATTACTACTAACTCGCGCAGAATACGTACACATCACACGTTTTGCCAAGTAGGATTCGCGTATTTATTTATTAAAAGGTTGGATAGTTAAAGTGCTTGTTTGTGCACTATGAAAGTTGGATATCAAAATTAAAATTTGAAGCCAAATTTAGGGTCCAATATATGTATTATGCCCTATTTATTTCAAACATGGCATGTCTCATTGTTTAAGTGTTCCTATAGCATTAATTAGGAAATTATCCTTAATTGAAAATTTCTAATTCGACTTTTATATACAACTTTTTGGTTAAAAAATATATAACTCTCATAGTTGTATATTTGATATTAATTTAGATAAGTTAATTGTGAGTTTCGAAAATTGAATGATTTTATGACTATCTTACTATAACCTTCATCGTATTTGTATCTAATATCATCTATTTTAATTTAGTCACCAAACTAAATAAATGCTATATATTGTTGTCTATCTAGCCACAACACCATCAAGTCTTCTGTCAAGGAAATAAGGTGGCAAATAAATTACATAAGCCAACGTCTGAATGTCACTGAATTGAGTAGTATAGGCAGATAGCAACCTATGAGATGACGCAACCTAATAACAAACACGGTTGGTCAACTATAAAATTTCAGGTTAGGTAGTATACACTGAACATCTTACTTTATTATTTTCTCATCCTGTTAAATTGTAATCTTTATCCATTATACCTCAACATTTTGATTAATTAGATCGAAGCATATTAGTTCATGTGAGATGTTTGATTATTATGTTTGAATAAAGTTAATATGTTGATATTCAAACATATTAAGTTATTTGAGATGTTATTCTGTTTGTGCATTTCAAGTTCACTTTTTCCGACTTAATTTTGAAAATTCTTGACTATTTGGTGTAAATATGAGATTCATATGAAAGGTATTCTCTTCTACTGTATGAAAGACTCTAAGAACCGATGAATCATCTGCTTTTTCAGTTTAGTAGAAATTCTTTCATGCTATTGCATGAAACATTTGTCTGGTCTCTTATTGCTATCTGAACTAGCTTGAAAAGTATGGTTGCTCTCTTCTTTTCTGTTGATCCTTATCGAGAATTTCCCCCTTTTTTCACTCTGCCCTGAAGATTACCAATATAGGTTTCACATCTATCCCTGCTTGCATTTTTATAAAAAGATCGATAGTGGTTGTCAAGCATCTCCCCAATACATTTGTATTACCTACCAAACAAGAAAATATTTCCAACATAGTTATTATATTTGGTTACCAATTGTCTTTGGCAAGGTCAACAAGTTAAATTAATTGATGATTCCTCTGTAGTTCAACTTGATTCTCTTATCTGAACCTTGAGTGAGATTTAATAACAGTTTTCCAATTGTCGACTTTCATCCATGTTTCTTATATTCTTCTTTGTCCTGCTTCATGTTTTCCAATTGCAGGGAAAATTCTAATTTTTGTTACTCTAGGTTGAAAATGGTCCTTGATGTATTGGTGTTGCTTTATTTTGGTCCTCAATATATTCTAGGTGATTGAAATAGTCCTTCATGTATGATAAAATGTGTTCAATTTAGTCTTTACCCTAAACTTAACATTTTACCTCCAAAAATTGTTAAATATAATGGTGGGCCCCACTGTTATATTTAATAGTTTTGGGGGTAAAATGTTAAGTTTAGGTAAAAGACTAAATGGAACACATTTTGTCATACATGAAGGACTGTTTCAATCACCTAGAATATATTGAGGACCAAAATAAAGCAACACCAATACATCAAGGACCATTTTGATCATTTTCTCACATATTAGTCATATGAATTGAAGCTAACTTAATTATTGGTTACTCTCTAAGATGATGATAATCCTTCTTTGTCAAATGCTTCCATGAAGTCCACAAATTTTCAAATTCTGAATTTTATAGTTATTCTACCATCTATTATTGCGAGAGATGGGAGTTGAGGCTTACTGCATTAAACATGAGAAGTGGTTGACATGTTCGAGTAAACAAGGGTCAGAGGGAGCAGGGGTAGAAAGATCAAGAGAAATGGTTATGAAAAGGTTAGACTTATACCATATGTTCCTCTAGAGAAAATGGTAATCCAATGTTTTGTTTTTGTGCAAGTTGTCTGTGTTATTTCTAATCACTTGAAATGCTTAAAAGTTTTTGTAAATGATAGTGTACATTTGCTGAGAAAGAGAGAAGTCCAAGTTGTTCATGTTAACAAAAGTAGGGGCGTAGGAATTATTTTCTTAGATTGAGATTCATGTCTGCTCCTTATACCATTCAATGCATGAAGTGCATTGGTCGTCTGGTACAAATTGTGGGATAAAATATTCATGGGTTAGTTGATGTCTCATACCAAACATGAAATGAAGTTAATCCTAAACCTTATCTCGAGATTGTTTTTTCTTATCTGGTGTACCAAATGACCCTAAAGGTATAACTATGACATCATGTCGGTTGAATATAACTTTGTTGGAGTGAACATGTAACATAGATTACATTATTGCCTTTCTGGTGGGATTTGTAAAGTGCCTCTCTCTTTTGTTTTCTCTTTACATAAATAAAATATGTATATGATGATGAATTTAATATTTGGAGAAGCAGAAAAGAAGAGACAAACAAATGTTTTTGGAGCCAAGGACAGACATACAATTACCAATTTTTGTACATCAAAGTGACTAACACAACATCAAATAGATGTACCAAAGGTAATACAAGTTGTACTATATTGGGGCCCACTTCATGAAACAAGTACTACTCCGCACTCATATCACAAAGACACATCTACTATGTAGGGAGTTCATTTGCTCTGTTATACTTAATGGACGAGGTAGTAGTAGATCCAGCCATTACTATAAAAGCTATTAGACATCAATGGTATCGGAGTGCGCCTCTTCACGAGGGTGATTAAAGTGCAACGAAATGCCTTAAAGTTGAATAGGGTTCGCGAAGCATCTGGCTTACCGGTAATCTCCCATTCCCGCCGTCGAGAGACTTTAATAACTATAGCATGCCAGAAACGGGGAGTTGAGGTGGTTAGACCTATACCCCGAAATGCTCTATGCTAATAAAGATCGAAAATGAGTGACCCAAAGTAATGAGAAAATGACTTGTAACTGTGAAGCTATAAGGTATCATACCTTGGGGATTACAAAATAACGAAAAAGTAAAAGTGACCGAGATGCGAGGGGAAAACTTTTGTTTAACAATTCCGGAAAGACCACCTATTTGTTCGTTTACCGGGTTCAGCACGAAATCATAAATAAGCTCTACCAAGGATTGCCAAACATTTGGTACTGAGTTTCCTCCTCCCTTTTTAGTAACAAAATAAACCAAAAGTAGGACCAAACTGAGAGTTAGTAGCATAAACAAAGATGGATTTGTGAATGAGAAATATAAGTAGTTGGGAAGGACCAACAAGGACAAATTTGTAATTTTCTTACGCTTACCCCACTCATATCACAAAGACACATGTATTATCTATGGATTGATCCATTTTTCCCTTATAGTCTCATAATTTCAAAAGCGTTAAATTTCTCTTAATTTTCGAGTAAATATCTCAAAAGGTTATCCAACTTTGAGAAATTATATTGTAAAATTATTCAACTTTGTTTTATATCAATAAAATCACTCAACTTTGAATATTTCTTTTATAAAATAACTCTATCAAACTTACCATAAAAATTATTCTACAAGATAAAATCATTATTTTTTAAAATATATTTACTAGAAACTTCTTAAAATATTTAAAAGTCATGAAAAAGTTAAAAACAATTGGCATGAATTTTGAACTTTTTAGTAAATTTGTGAAGTGAGTCGAACCCATTCGAGGGAACGTATGAAAACTGAACGTGATGAGGTATCCACTTTCTTCTCTTCCCAATTTATATTGTTCGTATTATATTTAAAAATAATTTCACCAATAATTTTTTTAAAAATTCGTATCTTACACTAATTCATTGATCCATGATTGTAATTTTTTGAAATGGAGAGAATTTTTTTTTTGTAATTATTGCAGAAAAGAAGAATAACATATAAAAGATTGAGATTTGTGGGAGAGCAATTAATTTATTTTATCATGTTAAATTGTTTTTTATGATAAATTTGATCAACTAATTTTATAAAAGAGTTCAATGATTTTATTGATACAAAATAAAGTTGAATGACTTTACAATATAATTCGAGTGAGCTTTGAGATATTTACTCCTTAATTTTCACAACTGCTTTCTTCTTCCCTCGCTGAATATCACTATGTTTTCAGGATAATTTTTCGATCTATTTACGTGGTTCTTAACCTACTTCTCTTTTGAGGCATATAATATGTGTTTGTAAAAGTTTTGGCAAATAATTTTTTTATTCTTATAGTTGTTGTTGAGTGTTGGAAATTGGGGTGAATGTGTATAATATGTGTGCTAGAGTTTTGACATGTTTGTTAGCAAATGTTCTTGATTTCTACATGTATTATGTATTTTTCATGTATTTTGTGTTCGTTATCAACTAATTTGAGGCATATAATGCACCTTATGCATTATATAAGTTCGAATTTACACGTAATTCATAGATTTTAAGAGAACAAATATAATTTTAATTGTGAAAATTTAATACAAACTTAATATTTTGTCTACAAATTAGTTGATTGTTCGATGTTATTGGACAACCGCAAATGGACAAGCAAAGAGCGGCAGTGATTGGTCAAACAAAACTCTAATAAAGTGATTCTGAGTTTTTTCTTTAATAGAACAAGATGTTCATACGACATTGCATTATACATAGATATAGACCTCTTAACTTGATCGCAACGATCAAATAAACATTTCAACTTTGAAAATACACCAACTTATCATTGTTGTGTCAATTAAACACTCTTAACTTATAAATGATCATCTTAAGTTCTTAACACATTCGAAATTTACATACCGCATCAGCATCAGGTGATCACAAGATAGATATGTTACTAGGAGCAACAACAATGACAGACTAACGATGATGAAAGAAAGTGGTGTGATCTTTATGAATTGAATAGTAGCCTTTCGATATACTCCATCTATTCCTAATTACTTGTCCACTTTTTCTTTTATAGTTGTCCTTAATTACTTATCCATTTTGACAAATCAAGAAAGAACAATTTTTTTTTACCTATTATATCCTCAATTAATTACTTTGAAAAAGGTAGAACTTTTTGAAAATCTTAAATTTTCAATTCATTCACTTCATAATTAATAGGGGTAAAATAGTAAATTCACTATGTCAATAGTTAGTTTCTTAATAGGTGTGTCAATTCAAAAGTGGACAAGTAATTAGGGACAGAGGAAGTAGCTACTATGTGTAAAATACATAGACAATGGACCAATTTCCTTGTAGTATTATTTCAAGTTTACACTGCAATACCATTAATGATTCAAATCTTTTTATTCTTAACTGATAGTTGCAAATTTATAAATAGAAAAACTTTTCATAAAATAGTTAATTTATTTAATGTGAATTTGAATTAATAATATTGGGATAGTTTCGTAATTCTGAAAGCATATAGTCGGTCAGTAATTTGTCTGAGACTAGCCGTACCGAATAGACAGGTATTTTAAAGGGAAATAAACAACTTAAATAGTTGTCTGTTAAAGAGTGTTTAATTTTTTTAAATATTTTAAATTATTAATTATTTTAAAAAATTAATATTTTTTTACGTAATTTTCAAATCTGTAAAATTGTACAATAACATGCCATTGCAATTTCATAAATAAGGTCTAGAGAAATGGTGTGTATCCAGACTTTACCCTATTTTTAGCAGGTAAAAAAAAGAAGCAAGTGACATACTATGTAACAATAAAATCAAGAAATAATATACTGATGAGTAAACTAGTTTAAGGTCACGTCCTCGGCAAATTACAAGTATGTCATGTCCTGTCTAATCACCTCTTTCAAATACTTCGTCGAACTTCTCACACCTCCTCACTAGTACAATACATCTTCTCTGCACATTTATGAACTGTCTGTCTCATGTCTTGTCTATGACATATCAGTCACTCACATCATATCGCAAATATCATCATTCTTAATCTTATATATCCCCATGCTCATACATTCATCTTAGCATTCTCACTTGCACTATTTTTATCTTCATAATGTGTGAATTGCTCCATACAACATAGTTGGTCTAACAATCACCTAATAAAATTTACCTTTAAGTTTAGGTGACACATTCTTATCATACAAGACCATGAAGACAAATATCTATTTCATCTATTCCTGCTGCAACGCGATATATAAATAATCTATCTCTCAATTTGTTTAAATTATAAACCCAAAAGTACTTAAATATTTTATTCTTTTAAATTTGACTAGTGTTGACATCCACACTTCCACAACTATCTCATGAATTACATCACTAACCTTGCTACTATTATACTATTATTACAATCAACATTCAACTATAATTTATCATACTAATAATAACAACATAACGATATACTACCATTGGTTAAATAATACTTCAGTTTCATTTGACCTTTCGAGCAAATGTTTTGGCCTTAGAGTTTGGAAATTCATAAGAAATTTTAAAATACTTGCACCTACAAATAGAATAATAGCAAAAAGTATTGGAATTTAACCTTATTTTTGTGGATCACAGTATCATCACCTTATATAAATGTCACTAGGGGCAACAACAATGACAAAACTAATAAAGGGGGAAATGGCCAAATGTACGCTAAACTGATTTTTGAATTAATTTGATATACTAATATGCATCATAATAAAACATGGGTTCTTTCAAGCTTGTCTATCAATAACTTGCATTCAAATAAAATGGATGGATAGGTAATGTGATCTTGCCACCAAAGGTTGTGGTGGTCGGATAGGATGCATCCATCCTTAACTAGAAACCACGGGTTTAAGCCCTAGGTACGAAATATCTCTACATGTTTATATCCTTACCTAAAACTTTCAGCAATCAATGAACTTTAGGAAAAGTAATATCAGCTTCAATTATGATTTTATCATCCACAAGAAAACCTTTTCCAGGATCATTTAATTCAGTAGGAGGCAAGAACATTGCGAAACCCCTGTCGCTCTCTTCTGCTGTAAAAAGGTGTTGACTATCTGCCACAAGGAACATAACATTAAACAAAACAGTCAGCACTTCTTCTAATCAAATCACAATACTATAAAACATAAATAAAGTAAGCATATAAATTAAAAAATAAAAATCTCAAGAAGCATAAAATCGGAACATCACTAGCTTATTTAAAACTGAATTCAGGATGTACTCAAGAGAAACAACAATCGAATAAAGACTCCTTTTAAAAAATCGACCACTCATGATTTTCTTCTCTCCTATAAGCTGTGTTCAAATCCATTCTCAGTTGGAGGTTGAGTTAGATGGACAAAGCTCTGCATCAATTTCATATTCAACCACAGGAAACATCAGAGATGTAAAAGAAGGTCAAGTTCATTTCAGTTAAATTCTGACTACTATATTTTCAATTTGTTAGTTGGATACAGATGGAGATGTAGATATCCTACATCAAACTACTATATACGAGAGACTGAGAGAATTCATGAAAATAGCATATATCCCACCATGTTGCCCGGACAAAGCAGGAAAACAACTTTTTTAAGTCTGAAGCCCAAACTGGCTATATGAGTGTATATATAGTGGGTAGTTCTAGGTCCTTAAACACCGGTGCAGATACAAGGACAATTCAGGCCTACCATTGGAGCAAACACAAGACTTAGAGAAATATACCATCCCTCCTGCTACTTGTTGAGCCTTTGTGCTCTTTCTCATTTAACTGCTCAACTTTGACTTCAAACGTCGGTTAGAATTTAGTCGAGCTGTCTTATTCATTTGTGCTATAAAAATGAACATATTAAAGGTGTCATGCCTTTGAGCAGTTGGAAAATGATTTTGAACACTTGATGAATAGCCTCTAATTCTTAGTTAGCTGTTGGTGCACCCATAAAGTTCTTGTGTATAGAAGATTGGCTGACATTTCTAGGAACATGCGATTCTTTAGGTTCTCTAATTATTGGTCTACACCTTGTAAACAGGAGTTTTTCCCACGTTAATAAATCATTTACCTTGTAAGGAAAAAAATAACTAGTACAATAAGTCTTGATCAAAATCTGCACAGTGGCCGACAAGATTCATTTAATAACAGATCTTTCCAGGATCAATTACATATGCCAGTATTAAAGAGACCTTTTAGAAAATACCACAGGTACAGAAAAAATTATAAAGGAAAACCCATACATCTATCAGCATAACTAACAAATGAAACTCAGGGAAAATCAACATCACAATATTGAATCCTGTTGGCAGAAGAACAGAACATACATATCATGAACCCACATCATTGTTATACTTTTTTTTTTTGAAAGGAAATTGTATTATAAAAGCAGCACTAAGAGTGTGCTGAAGTAATTATAAGTGAGTAAACACAGCATAAGATGGATCTCTTTCCAATCTTATATGGATTCTAAGAGGCTAGTATGGATTCTACATAATTAACAAATTCCTTCTTACATCAAAAAGAATACAAAAGAAAACAGTCAAACTTAATCTGTTGGAACAAGTTGGCAATATTGCTTCCATTGATTCTGTAAATATATGATGGGTCTAACTCAACCACAAAAGCTAGCTCATGAGGGGAGGATTGCCCAAGTCCATATAAGCAGACCACTAGTCCATTCCCCAACTAATGTGGGACTTTGACCCACTCTAACAGTTGGAGTACTTCTTGACATTAAAAAGCCAAATGAAAACCTAGATCATCTGTTTTATAATAAAATGTCCAAACTATAATACCTCGATGGAAGTTCACTTATTAATTCATTCCTCAAGAAAGAAAAGAAAATTCAAAGTACGCACAAAATACTACATGAAATATGTTATCCAGGAAAATCTGAAGTTCGACGACTACTCTCCACAGCTGAATATGAGGAAAACTAGATAATATAACACAACAAAGCCTTGTTCAAATGGATTAAATATGCAGTTGATAGATAACCAATAGATTTTCCCTCAGCATAAACTCATGCACAAAAATTCAGATCTTTTATACAACAGATGAGATCTCTGACCTTTTCTCAGTGTGAACTTGCCATGAATTTGATCGACAACAGCTAAGCTAAATTTAGCATGTCTACTCCAACCAGTAGGCAACGTTGCGGCATCTGCCACATCTAAAAATATAGATAAATAGTCTACATTGTTTCCTTTTGGGAATATCAGTATCCTCCTGCAAGACAGAATGCATCCTATAGTACATCATTATCATATCCGCATTAAATTTGTGAAGCAATCCACTGAAAATGGGATGTTGAAAATAATTACCATTTATATCCTCCTATATCAAACACATCAGAGTAATTCTTCACATTCAACCTTGAAAAGTTGTCAATAGTCCATGTGAACCGTGGAGATGCCGCATCATCCACCACCTGAGCATCCACCATACTTAATGTGTCCGCTGGTGCAACTTCCAGAAAATAAAGCATGCAAATTTTTTAAATGACTCAGGAAAAAATACAATATCAGTTAACAAAATCAATAACACAAGAATCCCAAACTTTTTGGGTTCGGTGAAATGAATCCTTTACATATTTTGCTCAATTTGGCTCCATTTCATTCTAATACTAATAAGTAATTAGTGATAAGTAAACACATACTAAATTTCAATCAATGTAAAGATGTGATATCAAATAGGAGTAATAAAAATAGCGACTATACATACACTATTACTCTGAAAGAGTGTGTGTAAAAGTAGGTAAGATACCTTTGACCGGCTGAGGCTTCTTAGTAGGAAAATCGGAACTAGGAACAAGCATTTCGTGTTCTTTTGGCTGCAATAGAAGAAGCAAAGTAAGAAAACTCGAACCAACAAAGTTGAACAATTTTGAATAATCTTTCACACTTAAGAAAATCTAGGGAAAGTTTACACTGCAATAACAACATATTATTAAACTGCTACATATACATCCAACAGATCGATTACTTTTGGAAACTCCACCCAGCAAAGCACCTTTGAACAATAAACAGGCAAAACACTGAAGAACTGCAAACAAGTGAATTCATAGAGCAACAAAATGCATCAAATTCAGCAACCATAAATCCCAAAAATATCACTAAATTTAGCACAACGCCACCAAATAAATCTTCATTAAACCAAAAAAAATATACGAGACACAGAAATAAACTGTAAAAACAAAGCAACATAGCTAAAATTTCAGTTACTATCATATATTTACTTTAGGTCAATTGACACAGCAATCACGGCGGAGTATATTCAGCACATACAAATAAATAAAAAGTCAATAGTTTCAAAATTGTACCAACTAAAGCTACTTTAAATTTAAAAAATAGGAATAAAGGCACAAGTACCCTTGACCGAAATTCCAGAGGCACCCCTTAACTAAACTAAGGTCCTATTACCCCCGAACCCATTTTTTTTGTAATTTTGTACACCTTTTTGGCTTACGTGGCATCCAAACATCTCCCACACGCCTTAACTATATGGAGTTACGGAGTGTGTTACGTAAGCCAAAAGGTTTGCAAAATTACAAAAAAAAAAAAAGAGTTTGGGAGTAATAGGACCTTAGTTTAGTTAATGCGTGTCTCTGGAATTTCGGTCATAGTCTAGGGGGTACTTGTGCCTTATCCCAAAAAAATAATATACATGAAACAGAGAAAAGTTGTAAAAGCAAAGTAAATTCAGAGGAAAAATTACAGAGATGGAAAGGAAGATTACATCTACTGAAGGGGGAGCGAGGAGATTAATAGACGGAGAACAGTGACTGTCAAGTCAGCGGCAACTATAAAATATTTGGTAATGAGAATTCAATGTATGTGAGAGAAAAATAAACATTCGGGATGATGGATCGAAGGACATTGTTGAGTTCAAGTTCTTGCCTGACAAGGAAGAGGAAGATGTAGAGAAAGGAAAGAGGTATACAATAGGGATAGTTTCGAAATTTCCAGAGTTGTTCATTGTAGTAGTATTTGAACACGGCTATGTTGTACAGTATGTAGGTCAGTGTGAGGCAGTAAGCAGGGTCATTGTGGGGGGGGGGGGGAGGGGGTAATTGTTGTTAATTTTGTAGTAATTGAAGGTGTGCCTATTTCTCACTGATGTACGTTACTAGAGTATTAATTGTTGATATTCCTACCATTGAAAGGTATATTAGGATAGTTGGTACTTTTTAGCTTAGCTAGAGATTTCTTGTTCGAGCTTTTCAAACTGAGAACCATTAGATAAAGAGTATTTTACTACCTTGGTGGGTCTACCAGGCGTATATTCGAATTAGTCAAGTCTGTAAATTTCAAATACATGTCAGCATTTTTACATGTCTTTGAATCTGTCTCTTTCTCTTGACTGTGTTACTTGTTGAGTTCGGTTGTTTAGGTAAGTCAAAGTGAGCGAAATAGAGTACAGCAGGCGTACAGAAAAAAACTCTGAACTACTATTTGCGCTCACCTCACCGGAACCTCAACTTGTATTCACCTCTGCTACAGACCAACTATATCACACTCTCTCTCTTTCAAACCCAGCCAAAGGAGCACATCTAGTTGAAAGACTCTCATTCTTAGCACATCTAGTTGAAAGACTCTCATTCTTAGCACATCTAGTTGAAAGACTCTCATTCTTATTTAGGATGGGAAGATCTTTCAGTTCGTAAAAGCTTAAGCTTCAATCTCAGGGAAATGAAAATAAATTCTCAAAGATCCATAAACAAATCTGCAAAGTTGTCTATTAATGGAAGAAATCCACAGATATTTACAGTTACTCAGCGAGATCTCTCTTCATACCTTTCCACCAATAGTGTAGAGACATCATCAAAATCTATTGCATACTAAGAAATATTATAAGAGTGTACCACACGTACCTGGCGATTGTGCATGTACTCCAAAAATGAAGGAACCTCAGGAAAGCGTTATCGTTCAGTGCATTGATTTTGAAGGGATTTCTGAAAGCAAATTATATCCCCATCTTCTAGCTGCAAAACCAGAGGAATATTGCAGAAAAAGGTTTCATTGGTAATAAATCCAGCAAAACAAACAAAAAGGAATTGAAAGAAATTGAATACACCACAAAATGCATACACACCCCAAAAGTGTCAACTGACAACTGGTTGCACATACCTGGCCCTCACAAAAACTCAACATACTGTTGATCTTTTCACACATCAAACTGGGTTCAAATTTTATTTCCTGTGAATAACAAAACCTGAGTAATGACATATCATATTTTAAGATTTAACTAATTGCTAGCAAGAGAAGAAGAAAAATAACCTCAAAGAGTTCAATTTCTTCATCAGGCGAAAAGCCAGCCAACTCCTTCAGCTTTGTTTTTTATCTCCAGCGGCTTGCCACTTCCTTTTACAAAAAGATGTCCAACATACCTGACACAAAAAAGGAATTAAGAAGAGAAAAACCAAAAAACCTCATCCTCATCATGGCTTCTCATATATCCAGCCCCTAGCAGTTGGACTTTAACTGAACTTCCAAGTATCAAATGTATTAAATAGACGATTAACCCTAATAATATGATGGCTCATCAAGTCCAAGGTTTTGACCAAGTCTTCTTCTATTATTTTTTGCCACGTTTTCTGTACACTCATGCTAACTACAGTACCATTCAATTTTCTACAATGTCGGATTAAAACCACTAGATCAAGTACAAGTCAAAGCACCTTTCCATGTAATTGTGTTTCCTCAAATTAAATAAATAAGGACTGAATTCAAACATGAAAGTATTTCAGCGATTGAGAAGCAAAATATAATACCTAATCGTCTCTTTCAGAGGGTCATAAAGTTTAAAAAATAGAAGGATTTCTTCCCTGGTCGTCTTCCCTGCTGGATGTAAAGGTCGCAAATCCTGCAAGAATACACAAATAAAAAATAAAATGTAAAATAAAGCATCACAAAGATAACATGCAACAAGTCAATCACCGAAAAGGAAGACAAGTAAGCAGGTGCTGCATTACCAGGCATAATTCTACTTCCAGAAAAAGTTTTAGCTCATCATTGTTCCATTTATTTGAAACCTCTCTCAGTTCACCAACCTGAAAGCAGATCATGCAAGATCATTAACACTGAGTTAATCAAGCACTTCCATCCTTTAACAGAATGTAGAAGCCATGCACTACCGAAGAAAGAATGCAAGACAAAAAAGATCACAATACTAGTCACAATTGTCATGCTTCAAGAAAATCGGGCCTGAGGGGTCCCAATACCTCCAATTGGAAAACGTACCTGGAGAGTGGGCCGGAGGGAGTTGAACAGGAGAGGGGAGGGTGGGGGCGGGGGGGGGGGGGGGGGGGGGGGCAATGGCTTTGTGGGCTGTTGCCCAGCAATGATTGAACAAACATGATCAGAAAATTGATGTATTGACTAGCAACGGAAGACATTTATTTTCTAAGAAAGCGAAATAGGTGGATGTCAAGCTCATAATCAAAATTTTCAGGAAACAAAGTTAAGATTGCAATAACAATTATATAACTTAGTCGATTAAAGTTCACATAGCTTTCTTGGTAATGGTGGAATCATGGCCAATTTGTGCATACCACGACTATTCCACCAAGTATCTACTATCTCTCACCAACACAAGTACCAGATTGAGTCCAGATAACTATTGTTGAAGATATAGTTGATTAAATAAAAGTATGTTCTCTCTAACTTTTAGATAAGATAGTTGCATATTTCCACATGGTAACAAAGCAAGCAGAGGGCCTGGGCTCAAATGTCCTTGCCAACCTTTAACAAAAAGAATTTCCACCTGTGACTCATCAAAAGGAATCAAGCCCACATGTGAAAGGAATGTTGAAGATACAATTAATTAAATAAAGTATGTCTCAAACAAATAACGTTTTTAGATGAGATGGTCACATACTTCAACAGTTGTATTACTTTAATGTTGCAAACATACAAACTGATTATCCTTACCTATAGACTCTATTTTTTGGTAGTATAGATTAGGTATGTCAAGCATGAGAAATTAATGAATCAAACAGTCCGATAAAGCTGAAGAAGAAATAGAATTAAGGGCTTAGATCATATAACGAATGACTGGAAATGGAGGATGGCTTCACACCACTACAAGAGTATCATGCTAAGATCATTCTTTTCTACCATCTGATGGATAATCCAAAGAGAACAAATTTTATGTGGACCACCAAACATAAAAGATACAAAGAATATCACTAGGAAAGCTGCAGTCATAACACAGACGAAGAGCACACTGCAGAACGATAGGCTTGTCAGACAGATCTTACTGGTTGGGTTTCCTCTTGAGCTGTCAATGCACGATCAGGCCGATACGTGTGGTTCTGGCGTTTTGCCCATATCCAATAACGTTGAAATTGCACCGGTATACCAAATGCCTTAGCAACTGCCTCCTGGAAACAGATGTACCATCAGACACACGCCAAACTCAAGACTTACAATGAATGACCAATGACATACTTTTATCTTATCTGCTGAGAGAGCCCAAATAATTTTGTGAATACTCACACCACCAAACCATTAGAACTCGCTGTTCACAATTTTTATGATTATTTGTATATCCTCATTTTTTTACCTGCCTAGCACTCAGAATTCAAAGTTTTATCTTTTAACTCAATATAAAACACAAGTACAGAAAGTTAACATTACATATTTCAAGTTATAGAAGCAGCAAATTACACATGAAACCTCTTTATTAAACAAGGGAAAACTGAATTCGTTCTCATGCAGTACATACATTTGCTCATCAGAAAACGAAAAGCAACAGAATGATAAATGTACCTTGAATTGAGTAAATGGCGTCTGTTTCTCAACACGAAAAGAACGCACTTTATCATGGTCCACAAGATCAAAATAAATCTCCTTTCCAATTTGTTCACCGAGGTCTTCATCACGAGCTACCTGAAAAATGAAATGACTAATTACAGTTAAAAGTTTCCCAAGTATAAAGACAGAAGAAGGGATAGAGACAAAAAAGTTGAAAGAAACCTTGATCATTGTGTAGAGACAAGCCTCTGCTTTCTCCTTTCCCTTTTGTACCTTTTCTTCTTGCTCTTTCTTCACTCTTACCTGAAATTTGAGGTCAATAAAAGATTACTATGTCTGGACCAGTATAATGAGAAACTAAACAACAGTATTGAGTAGAAACCCACCCAAAGATGCTAGGCTATGTCCTTCTCATCCACATTGGATATAATCTTTTCCTTGTCACTTTCACATATATATATATATATATATATACACATACAAACATATACGCGTTTGAATATTTTATTAGTTCGACAGTGCATTGTTGCCAAAATATGTACTACTGGAATTTATAGACTTCCTTAAGGCCTAAGATCTGACATAAATTCAACATTTGTAAAAACTGCATTGCTGATGGACACTCTCAAATGCTTCATGCATTTTCAAAAGAATCAAAACTACACCAAACACAACTACTTTAAGCAAAACAAAATATATGTAAAACAGAGTAAAGCTGTAGAAACAAAGTGAATACACAAAGCAAAATATATTCAGTAACAATTGCAGTTTTAAAAGAAATTCTAGGCCAACTTCATACCGTAATCACTGCCAACTACATTCAATACATTTATTTTCAAAACTACACGGAGAAAAGCTACTGTAAGACAGGAAAAAATACGCAAAGCAGAGTGTAACTGTGAATACACACAACAATCACATTTCAAAAAGAAATTTTAGGTCAAGTTTCAGATAGCAATCACAGCAATAGACAAGCAAAGAGCGTTAGTGATTGGTCAAATAAAACTCGAATAAAATGATCTTAGTGTTCTTTAATAGAACAAGATGTTTATATGACATTGCATTATACATAGATAGACCTCTTAACTTGATCTCAACTGTCAAATAAACATTCCAACTTTGAAAATAGACAGCTAAAAATACATCAACTTGTCTTCTATGTGTCAATTGAACACTCTAACTTACCAAAGTGAGAAAAATAGAGTACAACAGGTGTACAGCCAAAAACTCTGAATTACTATTTGCGCTCACCTCACCGGAACCTAAACTTGTATTCACCTCTGCTACAGACCAATTATCTCACACTCTCTCTCTCTTAAACCCAGTAAAAGGAGCACATCTAGTTTAAAAACTCTCATTCTTATTTAGAATGGGAAGATCTTTCAGTTCGTAAAAGCTTAAGCTTCGATTTCAAGGAAATGAAAATAAATTCTCAAAGATCCATAAACAAATCTGTAAAGTTGTCTATACATGGAAGAAATCCACAGATATTTATAGCTACTCAGCAACATCCCTCTTTGTACCATTCCACCAATAGTGTAGAGACATCATCAAAATCTATTGCATACTCCAAGAAATATTATAAGAGTGTACTACACGTACCTGGCGATTGTACATGTACTCCAAAAATGAAGGAACTTCAGGAAAGCGATACTGTTCAGTGCATTGATTTCGAAGGGATTTCTGAAAGCAAATTATATCCCCATCTACTAGCTGCAAAACCAGAGGAATATTGCAGAAAAAGGTTTCATTAGTAATAAATCCAGCAAAACAAACAAAAAGGAATTGAAAGAACTTGATTACACCATAAAATGCATACAAATCCCAAAAGTGTCAACTGACAATTGGTTGCACATACCTGGCACTCACAAAAACTCAACATACTGTCAATTTTTTCACACATCACACTGGGTTCAAATTTTATTTCCTGTGAATAACAAAACCTGAGTAATGACATATCATATTTTAAGAGTTACATAATTGCTAGCAAGAGAAGAAGAAAAATTACCTCAAAGAGTTCAATTTCTTCATCAGGCGAAAAGCCAGCCAACTCCTTCAGCTTTGTTTTTATCTCCAGCGGCTTGCCACTTCCTTTTACAAAAAGATGTCCAACATACCTGACAAAAAAAGGAATTTAAAGAAAAAAACCAAAAAAACTCATTCACATCATGGCTTCTCATATATCCAGCCCAATGCAGTTGGATTTTAACAGAACTTTAAGTTTCAAATGTATTAAATAGTGAATTAACCCTATCAATATGATGGCTCATCAAGTCCAGGGTTTTGACCAAGTCTTCTTCTATTATTTTTTGCCACGTTTTTGTGTACACTCATGCTAACTTAACTATAGTGCCATTCAATTCTCTACAATGTCTGATTAAAACCACTAGATCGAGTACAAGTCAAAACACCTTTCCATGTAATTGTGTTTTCTCAAAATAAATTAGGAAATCCCGAATTCAAACATGAAAATCACTACTTTAGTGGAAGTATTTCAGCTATTGAGAAGCAAAATGTAATACCTAATCGTCTCTTTCAGAGGGTCATAAAGTTTTAAAAATAGAAGGATTTCTTCCCTGGTCTTCTTCCCTGCTGGATGTAAAGGTCGCAAATCCTGCAAGAATACACAAAATATAAAATAAAATGTAAAAGTAAAACATGTAAAATAAAGCCTCACAAAGATAACATGCAACAAGTCAATCACCGAAAAGGAAGACAAGTAAGCAGGTGATGCATTACCAGGCATAATTCTACTTCCAGAAAAAGTTTTAGCTCATCATTGTTCCATTTATTTGAAACCTCTCTCAGTTCACCAACCTGAAAGCAGATCATGCAAGATAATTAACACCGTGTTAATCAAGCACTCCCATCCTTTAACGGATTGTAGAAGCCATGCACTACCGAAGAAAGATTGCAAGATAAAAATGATCATAATACCAGTCACAATTGTCATGCTTCAAGAAAATCGGGCCTGAGGAATTCCAATACCTCCAACTGGAAAACGTACCTAGAAAGTGGGCCGGAGGGAGTTGAAGAGGAGAGAGTGAAAGAGGGGGGAGGGGAAGCAATGGACTTGTGGACCAGCAATGGATGAACAAACATGATCAGAAAATTGATTTTATTGACTAGCAACGGAAGACATTTATTTTCTAATAAAGCGAAATTGGTGGATGTCAAGCTCATAATCAAAATTTTCAGGAACAAAGTTAAGATTGCAATAACAATTATATAACTTAGTCGATTAAAGTCCACATAGCATTCTTGGTAATGTTGGAATCCTGGCTAATTTGTGCATACCACAACTACTCCACCAAATATCTACTATCTCTCGCCAACACAAGTACCAGATTGAGTCCAGATAACTATTGTTGAAGATATATTTAATTAAATAAAAGTATGTTCTCTCTAACAGCTTAAACTTTTAGATGAGATGATCACATATTTCTACATGGTATCAAAGCAAGCAGAGGTCTTGGGCTCAAATCTCCCTGCCAACCTTAATTTCCACATATTATTCATCAAAAGGAATCAAGCCCACACGTGAAGGGAATGTTGAAGATATAATTAATTAATTAAAGTATTTCCCAAACAACTTAAGCTTTTAGATGAGATGGTCACATACTTCAACAATTGTATTACTTTCTTTATTGTTGCAAACATACAAATTGATTATCCTTACCTAGCCTCTATTTTTTGTGTAGTATAGATTAGGCACGTCAAGCATGAGAAATCAATGAATCAAACAGTCCCATAAAGCTGAAGAAGAAATAGAATAAATTCCCTTTAAGGGCTTAGATCATATAAGGAATGACTGGAAAAGGAGGATGGCTTCACACCACTACAAGAGTATCATGCTAAGATCATTCTTTTCTTCCATCTGATGGATAAGCCAAAGAGAACAAATTTTATGTGGACCACCAAACATAAAATATACAAAGAATATCACCAGTAAAGCTACAGTCATAACACAGACGAAGAGCACACTGCAGAAAGATAGGCTTTCCAGACAGAACTTACCGGTTGAATTTCCTCTTGAGCTGTCAATACTCGAGCAGGCCGATACGTATGGTTCTGGCGCTTTGCCCATATCCAGTAACGTTGAAATTGCACTGGTATACCAAATGCCTTAGCAACTTCCTCCTGGAAACAGATGTACCATCAGACACGTGTTTACATTCCATATTTCAAGTTGTAGGAGCAGAAAATTTCACATGAAGCCTCTATACTAAACAAGGGCAAACAGCATTCATTCACAGCAGTACATACAATTGCTCATCAGAAAACAAAACACAATAGAATGATAAAAGTACCTTCAATTGAGTAAATGGCTTCTGTTTCTCAATACAAAAAGTACGCACTTTATCATGGTCCACAAGATCAAAATAAATCTCCTTTCCAATTTGTTCAGCGAGGTCTTCATCACGAGCTACCTAGAAAATGAAATGACTAATTACAGTTAAAAGTTTCCCAAGTGTAAAGACACAAGATGAGAGAGACAAAAAGAGTTGAAAGAAACCTTGATCATAGTGTAGAGACAAGCCTCTGCTTTCTCCTTCCCCTTTTGTAACTTTTCTTCTTGATCTTTCTTCACTATTTCCTGAAATTTGAGGTTAATAAATGATTACTATGCCTAGACCAATATAAGAAGAAACTAAAGTAGCAATATTGAGTAGAAAACCACCCAAAGATGCTAGCGTATGTCCTTCTCATCCACATTGAATGTAATCTTTCTTCGTTGTCACTTTCACGTAAATCAACAAACATCTATGCGTTTGAATATTTTATTAGTTCAACAGTGAATCACAGCCGACTACATTCAGTACTTTTTTTTCCAAAACTACACAGAGAAAAGCTACTGTAAGACAGAAAAAAATACGCAAAGCAGAGTGAAACTGTGAATACACACAACAATCACATTTTGAAAAGAAATTTTAGGTCAAATTTCACATAGCAATCACTGCGAACTATATTCAGCACATTTATTTTCAAAACTACACCGACAAAAGCTACTGTCAACCCAAAAAAAAAAAAAATCGCAGAGGAGAGAGAAACTGTAAAAACAAAGTGAATACACACAGTAGCACAGCTAATAAATTCAGTAACGATCTCATTTTTAGAAGAAATTTTAGTTAAATTTCACACCGGACTACGCCGAAAGAAGCTACTGTGAGCAAAAAAAATACAGCTAGTAAAGTAAAGCAAAACTGTAAACGAAAATGAAATCAGGGAGAAAAAAATGAGGAAGAAGATTATTACATCCATAGGAAGAGTGAGGAGTAACGTCGCCGGAGAATGGGAGAACGTAAACCGGCGGCAACTTTGTTGAGCTGAAGTGCTTGTGTGACATGGAATAGCAAGTGAAAAGTTTGTTGAGCAGAAGTGCTTGTGTGACGAGGAATAGCAAGTGAAAAGTTTGTTGAGCAGGAGTGCTTGTGTGACGAGGAATAGCAAGTGAAAAGTTTGTTGAGCTGGAGTTCAAATATGCCTCATTCAAAGGTTACTAGTTAAAAGTTTGGTTTATTTATAGAGAAAAAAGTTGGAAATATATTCAAATTTTAAGTGAAATTGTTGTAACAATCTCAAATTTTGGATAGGACTTTTTACTCCTACACTATTTAATAATTATTTTAAAAGTATATATGTGTCCACGTGAACATCATAAAAAATACATTATTATAAATAGTAATTTGTCCACGTGGGCACATATATACCTTTAAAATACACAATTAAATAGTGCAACGATAATAAGTCCTGCCCAAAGTTTGGGATTGTTACAGCAATTTCAATCAAAGTTCAGATATATTTCAAACTTTTTTCCCTTATTTATATTATATTTTAGCGCATAGATGAGCTAAAATTTTAACGAAGGATATACTATTAGCTTTTTTTCAATGTTAGATGGTAATTTTAAGCTTTTTTCCTTTCAAAAAAAGCTTAAAATTACATACTACCGTTGAACTTTGAGAAAAGGTAGCGAACAAAATAATTCAAATTTAAATGGGATGGTCCTTTGATTTCCCGAGGAGAAAAATGTTCATTTGTGTCACTTTCGTTTGAAAAAAGGCTTATTCATGCAATTATTTGTTAACTAAAAACAACCTAATTTTTGCAAAATTATTTTTGACGCGTAGTCAATTATGATTCGACAACGCCATTAATTAAATCATTTTTAAAGAAAAAAGACTCAAATATGTCATCGAACTTTGAGAAATGATCGTCTATGCTATTTCAGTTAACAAATAATGGCATAAATGAATATTTTCTCAAACAAAATGACATAAATATATCAAACTTCTAACGAATGACAAAAATGAATTTTTTTTCTCAAAGTTATATGGTTGAGCCCCTTCCTCAAATTACCAAATTGAATTTCTGAACATTGAATTCCCACTCATAATGGATTGTTTATAATATAGGTAACACCTTGAAAACCAGACCTAGAAAAAATTGCAGAAAACCACCTGAAGCAGTGAACCACGGCAGGGTTCACGGACCGTGATAGGGTCCATGGTTCGTTAACCTGCCCGTGGTCATGACTTGGAAGTCACCAAGCCCAGACGTAAGACCACTGGCACCTTCACGGTCTGTGGCCTTGACGACGGGCCGTGGTGGCAGTCGTGACGTCTGGGCAGTAGCCTCCCTAGCCTAGCCCTCAGACACCCCTCTCCCAAGTAAGGACCACGGGGACCTTTACGGTCATGGTCCTGAAAATGGGTCGTGGGGGCGTCCATGAAACCTAACCAGTAGCCTCCTAAATCCTAAACCACCAGACCTCAGCCCAAGTAAGGACCACGAGGACCTTCACGGTCCATGGTCCCTCACATAGGCCGTGGTAAGGCTCGTGAGACAGACCTTCAGCTCAGTAGTCACCAAGTGAAGACCATGACCCACTTCACTGTCAGTGGTCCCTTTCACGGTTCGTGAAGGTGGTTGTGGTCAGCCCCGTCACCAGTTTAAATCAAGGGTCTTTTGGTCTTTTCCTATTTCGTTAGACCCCTAAACTACGTTGTTTTAACCTTAAATTACGTGGTTTTGATTAGTTTTAGCCTAGAAACATAACTAAAACTTACCTAAGTCAGATCTTTCATCAAAACTTAGAAAATTAGAGGAGAAAGAGAAGAAATAGGCAAGCAACCCTAGTTAAAGAACGCAACAAGGTTCCATCAGTTCCAACCCCGAAATCGAAAGATTTCTCTGTGGAATTCGTTACCAGGTATGTGGGATTTGACTAGTAGGTTCCTTTCGCCCATTAGGTCCCTAGAATTCAGTCAGATTCATGATTCCCTATTATTAACTAAACCTAGGATTTCTAGAACTTCAGCAGATTATCATGAATTAGTTATTTGTATGTTCCAAATCAGATTATCATGTTATTACTTCGTTTCTTGCATGAATTTCAGAACTCTAACTTGGTAGTTCTTTAGTTCTTGAATTACACATGCTAGGTCAGATATTTCAATATTTTAGATATATATGCCTCAGTTTTCGAATGCATTACTTTCAGTATATTAATATGCATTCTCAGTTTGCATGTCAGTTTTTGAGCTATTCAGTATATTATAGAAATTTAGTCATAATATGTTAATCATTTAATCGATTGGGAGTAGCATAATACCGAGTTAGACTAAGGTCAGTTACCCATATAGTCCCAGAACTATGGGCCACATAGGTTGTAAGTCCCCTCTATGGGCATCATTTTAGTGATTACAACAACATGCCTCTACACCTTTGGCCGGGTGCATTGGGTCCTTTCGATGGGGCGTATACATCGGACTCCACATTTAGCTCATGTGGTTTTATTATCGGTTATTAGTAGCTCTCATGGTTCAGTCAGACTCCATTGCATTGACCACATTTCAGTATAATCAATATTCAGCATCAATATGTCTAAATTTGGTCATTGCATTCAGTTAGCTCAGTATTCAGTATATATATTTATATCATGTTCAGATTATACTCTTGCTTTATTGCTTGTTCAGTTATATGTTTATTTCAACTTTACTCTACTGCATGTTCAGTACCTTTCAAGTATTGACGCATACTCTGCGCTACATCTTCTTGTGATGTATGTTCAGATTCTCAGCATCCAGATCACGCTTAGATCGGTTCCCGATCTCCAGTTCAGCAGCATCAGTTGTGAGTCTTCATTCTTCGAGGACAATAGTCATGTTATCTTTTCATTATTTCAATCTTTTAGTTTCAATTTTGTTAGACTTAGCTGGGGCATGTCCTAGCACTTCTAGTCAGTTAGAGACTATTTTCAGACATAGTTTTATTCAACTTAGTATTTGAGTTTGATGTTTCTTTTGTATTAACCTCTCAGATTTGATATTCAATTTTAGTATATGGGTATTCCCCATCATTTCAGATTTACTTATTATTAGCTTCCGCATCAATTTTATTTCTCAGTTTATCTTTAGTATGCTCATGATTGTGACAACAAGGTTAGCTTGGGGTCACCTGTGATCCTAGGTCCTGTGTCCGCGTCTCAGGGGTAGCTCGGGGTGTGACAATATACTCCCTCTGTCCAACAATAGTTGTCTACTACTAACTTGACATACCCTTTAAGAAACAATAAATAATAAGGGTAAAATTATTATATTATCCTTGACTTTTTTATATTTAATGCTTTGAGAAATATGTTATATGATAAATAGTAAGGGAAATAGACACAAAAGATAAATTATCTCTTGATTTTTTAAATTGAACAAATATTGTTGGACAACTATCATATATTTATATAAAAAAGAACTCTAAGCTCACCTATGTGGTGCCACCACTAGCTAGAATTTTTTTAAAATTTATTTATTTAAAGAACAACTATTGTTAGACGGAAGGAGTATAAGTTACATTATTAATTAATTTAAATGTCTTGATTGACATGTGTATTTATATAGCTGAAAATAAACATCATGATATGGCATCATGCATGCCTCATTGGTCAATATTACTCATTTTTATCTTGACTCTCCCTCATTTTATCTTTTACATAATTTATCATAATATATTTGATGATATAATTGTCTTGTTAAAATTGAGTGATGTTTTTATGTAGCGATAAAACATCATTTTTTCTATTTTTTTGTACATGAAAAATATAGAATCTGATAATTTTATGGTTAGAATAACTCCTTGTGAAAATAAAATGATGTGAATGTTTTTGATAATCAATATTAGTTATAAATAAGTTAAGACCGTTAAAAACTGTACACCACAACAACATAAATAATTTTTTTTTAGAGACAATCTAATTACCTGAGGTCAAACGTTCACTACTTTTCGTTATTGTTACTTTGTAACTCTAACAAAAAATTTAGAAGTAGAAAAATAAATTTGAAACAACAACAAAATAAGATTGTTGATGATTTTAGAAATTTATTCTTCATTAAACTGTTGTTCTGAAGGCCCTTCTAGATGCTTTATCAATGCAACTTTACGACTCTTTCAGAAATATGTATGTATAATTGTTGCATTATGAAAATACAAGTAGATCAAAATGTTGGATTCTAGACTTATGTTAAAGAAATATTCTCGAACATAAAAAAAAATGAGTCTAACCTAGATAACTCAAACGCTCAGCAATGACTTGGGACATGAAGGACAACAAATCTATGTTAATAGACATATCTTTTGTAGCTTAAGATATTACTTTTATTTAGAGTATGTTTTTTTTTCATATTTTTCAAATTAAGCTTGCCGAAAATAGTCATAACTCACACAAAAAATATTTAGAAGAGCCGAATGAGAAGGAAAAAAAAGAAAAACATTAAAAGGACGAAAGCTTTGTCCAAGTGAGATCATATACATACAAAACGAAAAATAATCAATACAATTTTAAGGAGACAACAAAACAACGAGAAAAAACATACATTAAATTGAGTAAACTATGATATATCCAATGATGGTAACAAATCATTCTTACCACAAAAGTTCCTATGTTTTGAAATAACATACCTAAAAAAATTGACTAACACTTCAATCAACTTTCAATTCTTAAAGTACTCATAATATTTACTAATAAAATTTAGTAAAAATAGATTACAACAACATAAATACCAAAAAATATGGGCATGCAAAGTTATTAACACTCCGTGGATTTTCTAAAGAACAAAAAGTCCCATCCTTGTATGTGAAGGAATGACGTTGTTGATGAAGAAATTAGAGATTTGTAAGGAATTTATTTATTGTCCCTTCAACAATTCCAGTAGAGAAAACTTGCTTGAATACTCAATTAACGTTTGTTATTTAATCTATACTAACAAAAACTTATAACAATAACTTTGCAAAAACATAAACAACAAAGTTTAAAGCATGTACTCAAAAACAACAATTAATAATATAAGTAAAAATTAATGACGGTAAAAAACATACCAGAATCTATATCAATAGAATGGAACAAAATGGAAAAAA